CCCCCCCCCCCCCCCCCCCAACTTTGGAACGGGTGGTGTTGGGGGGCCGGGGGGGTGTCCCAAGACAGAGAGCCTTTTTTCGTATGATGACAACAAATGTCATTCGACAAAAATGTCTGCAATATAGCTACAAATCAACATTGAGGCCTATTCCAATTCTATACCAAAAAACAAAACAAATAAATCAAATTATTCATATATTTCTAATGGCAACTTGGACGACAAGAGGAATTAATAATAATGGTATTTATTCAATAATCATCATCGCAGCTCGAGGGCTGAATTACAAATGGGTTTACAATATTTAAAAAAAAAGTGCATGAACAAGCGGCGTAAAACATATACAAAATATTTCCTTATGCACATAATTATGGTAGGTTTATTACGATAGGACAGGGAACAGTATTAATCAAAAATTAGGCTTGAAAGGGAAGTAGAAAAGGAGAACTTGGGTTTCTATACTAATTAGGTATATAAAATCAAAGTCAATGTTCTAGATTACAAAAATGGTTCGAGGAGGGATATTGCCATGAAAGTGTGGCCGTAACATCATTCATTTCAATGTCCAAGAGAAGTGAACGGCATCCTCTTTGAGTGGCGCCAAGTACCGCTAACCAAGTTGAGGTATATTGATCGGGTTGATCGGATTAGGATCAGCAGTGGTCTGAAACAGATTATTCTTCGTAAACTGATCCGGAAATCCGGATTCTCGGTGACAAGGATGTACGGTACGAAATTGATCGATCTACAGGAACATCATTAATTTCATGATTATTTCATGAAGGAAAATCAGAGAATAATTGAGAATGATTAATTCAGACAAATATTGCACTGCAAGTAATAATAAAAACTAATGAAGTTATGTGCTGTTGGTTTCAATTAGTGTGTGCTTTCTCGACACCTTGTTACGTTATCATGGTTTCGCTCCTTCATTTCTTTCTAAAATCCTTCCTCGATACACTCCTGTCCAGACTTTGCGATCGGTCTCACACTATTTCTTACAAGCAATGTGGGCAATGTTCTTTCTTTTATGTAGCTACATTTCTTTGGAACAATCTTACCCTTCAAATTCGCAATGCTAGTTCTTTACATACATTTGAAACAATGCTGAATAAAAAAAAAAAACATCTCTTTAAGTCTTGTTTCTGGACCTTTATATTTTGCAGATTAACGTATTTGTATTTTGGTTGTAAGAGGTTTGTAATATTGTGTGCAAACAGTCATGTATTGTTCTCATTTGCAAAGTTTTAATGTTAATTGATTTGATGTAATTTGTAATGCAAATTCTGTTTCCTTTATATACTTATCAACTATTAACCTTCTAAACCGCTTAGAGGCATTATGCATGTTGCGGTATAGGAATATATTTTGAATTATTATATTATTGGCGTATACCGGTAGTGATTTTTATTTTGGTTATTCAAGTGAAAAAGAAAAGGAAATTGTCCAAAGAGCAGTTTTAAAATAAATCCAAGGACTGTATTGGCATGGGCGGCAGAATTGAGAAAGAGGGGGGGGGGGGGGGGGATGTGCTGGATTATTTCACAATTGCCCGCTTGCAAAAGAAAATGTTCCCTTTCACTTTCCTGAACGTGTAATATTTTGAATATTCTCCGATGTCCATCTCAAAATTGGCATGGGGGAGGCAGAAACGGCAATCTTCTTCTTCTTCTTCTCTTCTCCTTCTTTTTCTCCTACTGCTTCTTCTTCTTCTCATCTTCCTCTTCTCCTCCTTCTTCTTCTTCTTTTTCACCTACCCCTTCTTCTTCTACTTCTCAACATCCTCCCACTCTATTCCTTCTTCTTCTTCTTTACCGTACTCCTTCTTCTTCTTCTTATCCTCCTCCCACTCTTTCTTCTTCTTCTATTCTTCTTCCACTACTCCTCCTCCTCCTTCTTGTTCTCCTATACCCCTTCTTCTTCTACTTCTCACCCTCCTCCCACTCTCTTACTTCTTCTTCTTCACCGTACCCCCTTCTTCTTCTTATCCTCCTCCTACTTTCTTCTTCTTCTTCTCCTTTTTCTTTTTCCTCTTCTCCTCCTCCTTCTTCTTCTTCTCAACCTCCTCCCACTCTTTCTTCTTCTTTTACTCTTCTACTTCCTCTTCTCTTTCTCCTATACCCCTTCTTCTTCTACTTCTCATTCTCCTCCCACGCACTCTTTTCCTTCTTCTTTTTTAAATTTCGACTAACAAACGACGGTGTTTTTTTTTTTTTAGGGGGGGGGGGGGGTTGAGGTGACAGTAATTCGCCCCGGATCTCCACAAATGTTATACTATTTTCAAAGCTATTTCATATGTTATTGTGTCAATATCAAAAAATTCAAAATTGATTACATAATATATTTATTTCATGTAAATATACTGCCTCTGACGTCGAGGGCGTTATCAAATTTGAGAATGTGGAACATTGGTATATCCTCGTTTTTAGTCATGCAGGAAGATAGAGCATGCTATTATTGTAATTGTTAATTTGTATATAAATATCTTTTACAGCTCATATCTCCTTAGTTTGCTACTGCTTCTCTCTTAATCTATGATTATCAATATCATCAAACAATCATGTCTTGCTCTCTCAGCACCTCTACAACCTTTCTATGTGCATCTCCATACCTTTATATCGTCTACATCGTCCCATCGTTTGTAGATTGGCTCTCAATTTACGTTATCATTCGTTTACTTTCCTCCATCTTCTTAACCCCACTTTATTCTAACCAAAGATTTTATCTTCTTTACATTTATCCACCTTCTCTCTCTCATTCTCCTTTCAGTATTTGATATCCGTCAGATATCTCTCCCCTCTTCTTCATTTCACTATCATTCCCACACATTGCCTCACACATCAAACAAACTACATACACAGACTTGGATTCTGTTGGTTCTCAAGATATTTTTGAAATGTTTTTGTTTTATTGTTTTCATCTCATCTTGTAAATACTTTTTTTTCTCCTTTCTCTCATAAAAGTCATAAGGATGTTGGGCTTTTCATTTCAAACATAATAAAAGGATTATGTAACAAGGGATATATATCACATAGTGTGTGTGTGTGTGTGCTGTAGTTACTGCAGATGACCAGTGCTACTGAAGGAAATAACCTATCAGGAGTACTCTGATGGTAGGTAACAGGCAATCTCCACTGTGTTAGGACATTAGGAGTTTTGTACAATGCTTAATATGCTGTCCAATGCTTGACCATAGAATTTCTACATCACAATCCCAGCTTCAATGTTAGCAATGTCATGCAATTAGGTGTTAGCTCTACTCAACATGTACCTACTACTTAGCCAGAAATATATAACCATCTGGTAAGGGTAAGTCTATAAGTATTTAAAGCCAGATTTAAAACCACCACCGTTGATATCAGAGACTGAAGCTTTTGGACCTACCTAGCTTACTGGTAATGCTTTGTCACATACAAAAAGCGTCCATAACATGTGTGTAAATAAAAAACAGTAATGCCTATGATAGCATGGCTGCTGAGAACCATAAGGGTGTTAACTCTCACATGAAGTTAATGCCCTTCCAGCTCTTTGCAGACAAAACAGATGCCTAAAAACCCATTCGCAGACTTTTCCAAAGCTTGATTTAATTGCATAGCAATTATATTCAAAAGAGGATGCACACCTTCATGAAGAAATAACAATAGCTCTGCCTAGCATTTTTGTACAACTATCCTGATCAATTCTAAATAATTTAGCCTTTGAACAGCAACGTTTATCAAGTTGATACAAATTGATACAATGTTGATATATCAGTGCTCTGGCAAGGTCCCTCTACTCAAGCTGGTTGCGTAAAACCTGAAGAAAATTGATTTAAAAATCTCTTCCGAGTTCCGACTATCGATTTTTCACAAATGAACATCTTAGAGATTGTAGGACGATCATTGAATATTCAAGGGTTTTCTAAAGCAGTGAAAAAATGTTGAATATAAACAGATTGGAAATCATGCACAGAGATAATGGTAACTAAAGAGATGACAAGAGTATGAATGGCAATAACAGAAGTGTGTTTGGTTAACAATGTACCGATCCTGGTTGTATGTTTGGAAATAGGGCTCAAGGAGGATCAATCTAGATAAGATACCAAAATGTATCTGGGGGGTGTTTCACAAAGATCCTAAGTCGAACTTAACTCCAAGTTGGACTTAAACATTATGGAGAGCCATTTACAGCCTTAAAATCAAATATATTCAAAAGTGAAAATTCAAGTATTTTAGATTTTTTCAATAAATTCCACATCAAAACATGAAATCTCCTTGATAATAGAAAATATGAATGATTTGAATATGAATCAATTTAAATTAACTTTTACAAAATATTTTCATAGACGCTTATGCTAATGGCTTTCCATAAATGTTAAACTTAGAGACAAGTTCAACTTAGGATCTTTGTGAAACACCCTCCTGGTATTACCAAATCTCCCTACCTATGCCCTTTTGCAAGGCCCTCAAAAATATCCTGCTCGCAGGCATTAAGGGTCCTTTTCATTCTTTTGTACTTGATAGGATAAGAGAAATATCATTTGAAAAGAACACAAGGAACTCATAAAAAAGGGAGAAACTCCTATATATAAAAAACTTGGCTACAAAGGAAGTAAAATCATAAAGATTTACAATTTGCAAGAATCATTAATGTAACGAATCCACACTCACACATATCAAATCATATCAACGTATGGCGGAGCTGGTTACGGGAACCATAAGAAATGACAAACAAAGGCAATATTCAACACCTTTTTTGGTATGCAGTCATATGGTGGGTGCATTTGTTCAATTTAAAATAATAAAAACAGAAAAGATGCAGATGTACATGAAATAATTCTGGCTCTATCATATTGCAATTTTACTCCTAGAAACATATGACAAGCAACATAAAAATAACCAATGCATTCAATTTACGTAAATGTACCATATACTTTTGGACGAGTATGGAGTGAATTTCATAGCTAAAGTCAAGTTAGTCAATGGTTGAAATGTTTAACAAAAACAGTTGCCATTTTTAAAAAAAGGTAAAGTGTGGAGATAAGCTCATATGAGAGCTGCCTTGTTGAGTTACTATAATTTTGAGCTGTGTTTCAGAGCAACTACAACATAAATTTTGGTATTAGATGATACAAATGAAATAGAAATAGGAATTTCCAACCGTCATAAGTGACCTTACGTGACTAATTCTTTTGACATTGCAACACATGCAAGCTAGGATTCGTGGAAGACTTCCACAGAACGATACACAAATAATGCCAGGCATGCAACAACAAACAAAAAAGGTACAATATCTGTCCTACCACAGGGCTCCACACCAAGTCCTTATGTTGGGAGGTCTGGACCAACATTCTTCGGTCTAGACCTTGGGTGCCCTATATGTCGGGGGCACCGGTTAGTGTCGAGCCCTGCCTTCAAAGCTACATGTAAGCCCAAACATTCATTCATGCACTCAAGTGCACACCTACAATGTACTCTCAAACGATATATCTATACGCTGAATATAAAAGGTGCTGTTGGACAACCAGCGGCATTCGATATAAACATAATATCCCACACTTGGGCATCATTTCCATCTTCAATGAATATATTCCAGTATGGAATATGGACAATGCCTATGTCATGAAGGGCTTTGTACACACTATGCAATATAGGTATAGACTGGATTGTTACTCATTTCAAATAACACTTGTATCAAATAATCTACATGTAAGTTACGATTAAAGTAAATAACTAGTTGACCGACAACCCTTCAAACAAATGGATTGAATGTTAACTGCCCCAAGCAAGTTATTAAAACATTATGTCATTATGGAAAATGTACATGAATGATGAAAAATAAACTTAGGTCATCTTTGATGAACCTTTTAAGATCATTGATTGAAAATTAATTCTGTACAAACTCTACACTCAGGAAAACATGTACACAAAGTGTCCTCTTAGATTGGCATTGTTATACATAATTAATTTCATAATTCCCCATGAATATTATCGAAACCATGCAGTTTGAAACCATTCCGAGTCATGTAAACAAGACATATATAGCAGCAAAAGTCAAAGCAGACCATAATTGGTTTATTACAATAAATGTCCAAGCATAGTTCATCCTTCATATCCAATGTATTACGCCCTGATTAATCTATAATCGGCAAATATATCGTCCCAACGCTTACAACGTTGATGAGACTATCAAACTATTAGAAATTTCTTAGTACTTCTCTTATAAAACAATTCTCACAGAACCTTTTTCATCTCTCTCCTTTTATTATTTGTTTTTCGGCAATACATTCAAAATATTTTTTTTTCCATAAAAATTGAATAATTTTTGTTGTTTGCCATTCCTTCTTGGCAGGATCTACCGATACATTCCTTTATAGTGCATTTAGCAGCCAAGGTACCCATCTCGTGCAGACTCTCTCTCTATACATGTGTGTGTATGCTGTTTTCCCCTTCATAATTAAAATGATTTTCCTCCTGTAGTTCACTGTAATCAATCAGCTAGCAAACATGGCCTGGCCATTACGCCAAAGACAATCCCTCGAGACATACAGCTCATAAATGACTTGCTTTACACAGAGTAGTAGATTTAAGTTGCCGCTCCGATTCACAAACCTAACTTGTCGTCTTTTTCTAATGGAAGAATATTCCGCATCGTTGAGTATGACCTTTTTGCAACTCGACATGCATTTCTTCTCACTTAGAGCAGAAAAGAATAGAATTGCATTGCAGATTGACTGATGATATAGAATTCCTTTGTACAATATCTACCTCCAAATACAAGCTGGGATAAACATGAGATCAGTTCCACATATTTTTACACGATTGCTGAATGAAGATTCATAATTCATATTCCACAGGTTTTGATATCTTAATGGCATATCATGCATGGCATAACAAAAGCACTACCATACAATCCCACTTGCCACAAATGTGTAAGACTAGCATGACTAGAACCAAAAATACAAATGATGAAACATCTTTCACTTTCATGCCTGCATTGTTGCGCAATTTGAACATGGATGTACAAAAAAATAGTGAATTAGATTTACTGGGCTGTTTTTTCTGGTTTGTATCAAGTGCTTTTTTCTGCATCAATCCTGAAAAGGGGAATCTTGTTTTACTTGTGTGATCATGTCCATTACAAATACATACTCTTAATATACGGCACAGTGCCAAACAAATGCCGCTTAATCTCTCATCCTATAGTATTTACTACCTACTCACAACAGAACACTTGGAAGAAGACGACAAGAAATCAAGACTGATGACTTTCTAACAAATGATGACAATAAACATTCCTTGTTTAGTTTGTAATGTTAAACTGAAAAAAGTCCTTCCATGGTAAGAAAATATTACGAGCTCGATCTTGAGCTGCATCACAAAAAAAGGGATAGGGCTTATCATACTGCCTTGGGTTTATAGGAATCAGCTGGGTCAAAATAAGGAACCTATGCTGTACATTGCCTTCATACCCACATTTATAAAGCAACCTCACATGGTGTGATCTCCGAAAAACACCTGTATTAAACCTCGGGTGAAAAATATTTATACGAAAGGGAATAAATTACACAGCACATTATCCTCTCTTCAACTTCCTTTCTTTGTGTCGTAATCGACAGTGCACAACCCGCACCTTTTTTACTTGCTCAGGGAGGGGAATTCCTCCTCGTTGTCGACGGCGATGGCCGAGTCGTCACGGTATCTTCCGCCACGTCCACCACGGGGTGCGCCCCGTGGCATGCGGTCTCCGCCACGTCCACGACCACCAGCGCCGCCGCGGTCTCCACGGCGATCTCCATCGCGTTCACCACCTCGCTCTCCACGACGTTCTCCGTCACGCTCCATGCGCCCTTCTCCTCCGCGTTCTCCACCTCGTCCACCTGCTCCGCGCCCTCTCCTTGCACCGCGGCCACGTCCACTCCCGGGCTGGTCAGCGAACGTGAAGTTGATGAGTCCAGCGGCATCAGGCTTGGTATTGTGTTCCTTAGGGTTCACCTCTCCATGCTGTCAAGATAAAGATAGACAGGGATGGAAGGTGTAAATAGCACCAAAAAATACAGTTATACAGTTAAAATTAAGCCTGAGTCATTACGGTTTTTGTGCTAAACGGTTAACCGTTAAAAGTATACGGGCGGTTTCGTTTAACCGTTTAATAATATTATGAAAAAGTGAAAATACAGTATTTGTAATAGTGCTGTAGCTCGGAACCCTGCTGGTCTTCAGACTGTCGGGCTGAGCATTCCCAGCCCCCGACTATGGCACAAATTGGGTCATCCTGATAAACAGAGACCAGTAATAAACAACATAAAACATGTCTTATTATTCCTCATCTGAATTTGATATCATGATTAACCTTGCAAAGTTACTCTGTGAAGATAGCTGATCTGTGACGTGTTTATATATGCCTTTGCAATGCAATGTTTGCACATGGTCAGGGAGAGAGCTCCCTGCATGTATCATTGCCATATGAAATTATGTGGAAGTGTGTATCACACACACCCAAGACACACCCTGCAATGAGCTGATCCAAGTTAGTGACCAATCAGGAAGGTTCTCTAGCTATGTGGGTGGAGTTTGATACCAGCATAAATTACAGGTTGGTGACCGCGCGTGCTTTCACCGTACCCAGTTCAGTGGGAGGTCAAGAAGCCACGCCCACATGTGTGCATGTGACAAGCATGAGCTCTCCATCTGTGTGTATGTACAGTGTATTTGGGCGCCGGAGGTTTGTGTGTACATGTGTGTGTGTGACTGAGAGAGCGTGCATGGGCTAGCATGTCCCTGCATGTCCCTGCATGGACGAGGCAGGGACACGAGAGAGTAAAGAAGTAAAACAAGTGAGACTAGATAGAAAGGGTGCCTGTGTTAATCGGCTGAATTGAAGAATGATCAAAAACTTAAATTACTCACAATATCCAAGACTTTGTTGATTGATATTTCTAAAACTTCAATTATTATTGTTATCAATATTTTTGTATTTTATTTATATATGAACATTATTTTAGGGGGCGAGTCGGCAAGGGATGGATATTAATATAGAGAGAGAGAGAGAGAGAGAGAGAGAGAGACTCGGGGGAGAAGGGATGTGAGAGGAACTGACCATCGAATGTGTAAACATTTAGAAAGTTGTGAGCTGAGAGTGCAGTAATAAGAAAAGGTACATGAGCGATGAACACATTGCAGAGAGGGTGAGAAAAGAGAGAAGGGGGCTGGTTGTTTTATTGTTTACAAATTCATTCATGGGGATTACTGCTGCCAGAAAGCTGGCGCGCAGCGGCCAGGGTGTAACATTACACTGCGGTTTCTTTGATTATCTTTATCATCGGCTATTAGCACATTCCAAAATGTATGCAAATAACGGTTAACCGGAGCGAGAAATGCTAAACGGTTTTGATGAATGCGGTCGGATAACCGTCGGTTAAACGGTTTGACTCAGGCCTAGTTAAAATATAGTTTTATTATATCTAGAAAATGAAAGTTTATGAAATTTTCTTTAGAGCAGATTGAAGAGTTGCAGGATACGTCACAGTTTTGCCAATTTGTAACTTTAATATTTTTAATCACATATTGCTCAACCTTTCACTAATGTGTTTCTGCTCTTATTAAAATGAACTTTACTTCAGGGTAATGAAAGCAAATGACCACATCTCCACCACTAGCTCACAAGCAACATGGCGGTTGTGGAAGTACGCGTACTCTGAATCCTGGTCCAGAACTCACATGCACGTCCTTGTGTGTGCAAGAACAAAATAATAACTAAGATGAAGTTAAATGCAGCTTGGAAAAAGCCTTGGTAATTAATCACTCTTATCAGCGTGGACAGACATTAAAGTAAAGATGTAGAAGTGTTGAGGTCTAATGAATAAGCCACCCGACTGCAGATCACAAGGTACAGGGTTCGAGTCCCGCTGCGGCAAGACGTTAATCTACATGTACATTTGCCACTCTCCACCCAGGTGTAAATGGGTACCTGATGTGCTTGAGCGCTAGTTATTTCGACAGCTTGGCTATAACCAGGGTAATATGTGTAAAGAGCCTGGCAGATACTGGCGTTTTATAAATATCCATATTATTATCATCTATTTATTACCTTATCAGCGTCATCCTTGGTGGTTTCCTTCTTGAGGACGTAGGTTGGCTTCCATTGTGAGTTATCCTCTCCTTCTCCTGCCTGTCGGATCTTGAATTGGGTCTTGACTCGTTCCTTGTTAACCATTGCCTTGTACTCGTCCAGGGTCATCTCGTCCTTCTCCGGTTCCTTGTCCTCTCCATCCTCTAGGGCTGCCTCGTTCTCTTCGCCCTCCTTGGGTGTCTTCCTACATCGGGCAACAACAACCATTGCAATGATTTCTCTCAATACCATTGTACCACTGTATTATTGCATTTTCTTTGTCCCTTTTTGTTTTTTAGTGTGCACATTTTTAGGATCCTATAAGTTTTTGTAATTTTTTGATGATCCAACCACTTTGTAATTTCCTTTAGTGTATTTTCCATTTTATTGGTTTATCTATGTTTGCAAGAAATTATTGTATTCTTTGCCTTTGTTTGTTTTTATGAAAGTGGTGAATATATTCAATTCAATTAAAAATTTAATGTATTCAATGAACAGAGTACTTAGTAGTTCTACCACCTCCAACAAGGAGAAAGGTAAGACTGCTAAGAAACTCTGATGTTTAAGATACACTCTACAGCTGCAGTCCTTTAGTTAAAGATAAAGACCAGTTTTGGAAACGCCCCCCCCCCCCTCAAAAAATGAAATGGAAGCTCTTATTACCAATCATGTGAAAGAATATGTTTTGACCAATACGTGATCATACAAATTTTGCCAAGAAACCGCCTACTATTTGATATATTTGGTAAATTATTATATCTTTTTGGACCTGATAGATATCGGGCATGTGTCGCCTAGTCCCATTTACATCTTTCTGTGTACAGTGCTTGTACTTTTACCAAGACTGGGCCAAATTTCTTATCATTTTGATGATTCTAGAACCTTGCAGTACACACGAATCCTTATATGCTAGATGATCAACCTTTTCTGATCGATTCCACAATGTTTTTTTCACGAATAGCATGACCAGAACTGGTCTTTAACTTAAAACAAGCATGCTTGTTCCGTTAGCTGTTCATAATGATAATAGTAATAGCAGTAACAAATCAATGATGAAGATGGATATTTTCATAGCACTATATATCCACAATGCAAGGTGCACTGTAGCCTTTTGACAAGGCCTCGTGACTCTAAGCGGCTGAGATGAGTCTAGATACCCGGAGTGAACGCGCGACCGAGTGACGGAACGTCACGAGGCCTTTTGGAAAGTGGGTTTCACTGCTGCGCATGAATTATTCATAGATACATATTAATATGCCAATACGCCTACTTTGGATTTATTGACCAATCAGAACGGCGATCTCCCAGTTGGCTTCGTTTGTGATTCGTTCCATGTAGAGGTCAGTGGTCTTAGCACGTACGTAATAGTTCATAGCATGTAGGTCCATGTTCGCACTACGTAGAGTTTACTGTGTGTGTGTGTGTGTGTGTGTGATGGATACTACTATGCTGACGTCGTGCGAGGATACGTTCGCTGATTGAACGCTCCATTTTCTGGAGCGAATTCTAGTCGGAAACAAGGGTTAACATAAGAAATCCAAATCAGATTGATAAAGGCCACTAGGATGGGCTCCTCGCTCTCGCGTTCACTTGGGTTTTCGCGATTAGTCTCGTTTTAGTCGCTCGGCGTCTATCAGACAAGTGGCCTTGTTTAAAGGCTAGGTGCACTGGGGCTCTAATACCACCCCATCTCTAGCAACAAGTAGTCTACCCTTTCAATGCTCACAGCACCAAAGGAATCGTACATACAGTAAAAAAATGCATATGAAGACCACTCAAGGGAGACAAGATATGCAGTCTTCAAACTAAGGCAGGTGGCCTTTATTTACAGGTTATTTAGTACATGTTTTAGTAAGAAATACTAAACCAAGTAAACAGAAAATGTGGTGTTTATAGACAGGTTGTTGTTAAAGTGGTCCCATTGTACTTACTTGGGGGCATTTTCCGTTTGTTCACCGTCGACAGGTTGGATATATTCGGGATTGGTGGGTTCCTCGCTCGTGTTGGATGTGTTCAAATCCCTACAAAAAAAATACATGAGGGATGGTTAGAAAAGAACAGCCTTGTTACAATAATACACATTTATTTCTCATTACACTTGCTTTTTACTGTAAAATCAAAAACGTTCACGAGAAACTTTCATGAATTGGTAATAAAATAGAGAAATCAATCTTTATAACCTCCTACCTCTTCTTCCTGTGAGAATAATAATATTAAACAATGAAATAAATAATAAACAATGAAATAAATAATAAACAAAGAGAAACCAATTAAACACAGAAACACCAAACAGAAAGAGCAGGATAGAAGTTGTATGCCTGTGCTTGATGGTATATATTTGGGAGGCAAAATGAGATAAGATCCCCCCTTTCATGCATCCAATAAATGACATATCGTCGCTCTCTTCACGAAGTGACGGTAGTGAAAAAAAAATTGCATTCACTTTGCGTTACGATTTTCCTCACTGCCGTCACTTCGTGAAAATAGGGACGATATGGAGTAGACTTTATTCCCAAGAATGATGACGTGAAGCACATGGAAATTGATGAACATGGAAAACTGTTCCAAATTATGGACTTTTAGATGTCAATTACAAATGCTTCCCAAATTTGTTTTCTTCTTCATCGACTATTGAGAGCCAGAAGGGTGTTAAATCTTTTTAGAAATAAATGAATTAGTGCAATTCTGGCTACCTAACACATGATTCACCCTTGTCTCCTTTTTTCCCCTCTATATCTTTTTCATTCATCAACCCTTCATGGTCAAAAAGGGTTCAGTATGTACCTTACATGGAAGGGAATACTAGTAGGTAAGACAGATTAAGTACAGTCATTACATGAACAAGAGCTACATGTACACCACACTACCTAAATAGGGACAAGAGAGGGCAGACTTACTTGACATCGTCCTTGCTATTTCCCCAGTTGTGTGAGCCGCCACCCTCCCTCTTGTCTTGGCCCTTGTATGAGCTGCTGGGAGACCAAGACACGAACCAATTGGATGCAGGTGAACATAGAGGGGGTGTGTGACAGCAGTGTCGGACAGGGCAGGGCAGGACAGGGTGGGGTAGCCATAGCATAGAGGACAGGTATTACAGACACCGGGGGAGGGGTAGGAGCACAGGATCATGCAGGCAGGAGAGATGTAAAGTAAATATGGGGGTGGGGCGGGAGGAAAGAGCAAAAATAGAATAAACAAATAAGCAAATAAAACGAGGACATGGGACAAATAACATTTAAAAAAATAAAAAATAAATCTTTCTATTCTGGTATGGATAGGTATATCAAGGAAGTAATAAGTGAGGATTAATGCTACACTAACAAATAAATAGGGCACTAAAGAGGACTAAAGAAAATGTATTAAAAGAACAGCTTTCACAAAATTTGCAAAGGCAAGTTTTCTGCTTGAAAATGCTGTGGTCCAGGTAAAGTCTGCTAATACTAGTAAGACTACATAATCATGCAACTTGTTCATTATGTACTATAAATATCTAGCAACAAAGATACAATACACAAAGATGAACATGGCAGACAAAAGGAATGCAGCAGCGCGTAATCATTTTAAACGCAACCGTAAACTCAAGCACTCGTGCATGAACAACCACGTGTTTGTATGTTCAGTAATCCCATTTGAAGAAAAAATCCAACAGAATGAAAAGCCCCAGAAATAATGCCTTGACAGCACACCAGGATTATTTCTTTCAATAATGCCCACTCCATCATTGTTCCAACCAAGAATAATAATATTTTAATTAACCCTGTATTTAACTGGTAATCGGATCGGGGGCAGATCGCTGGCTGATTTACGTAATTCTGATTGCCAATCAATGAAATATGATCAGAAGCAAAAAAAACTACTTTTGAAGTTTTTCTTGTTGATATTTAGCGCCTTTTCATGACTTTGGAATTGATAAAGATTAGTCTAAAAGAAGAGGCAAAACATGTGAGCCACCAATTGTTTTTTCATTGTCATTATAATACAAAATGGCAGCAATTTTTGGAGGTAGATTACAACAAAATTTAATAAGATCTACTGATCTGATACCGATACCGATATGGGGAGCCAAACTGCCGACTCGATCACAGCTCTAACTTACAGAGTTAATTTTAATACCCAGTCATACCAACACCAGACCATTAATAGATCAAATATAAAATACACTACCACAGAAGACTAAATTCCATTGGTTTCAAGTAGGCTTAGTGGTGTCTGGCACCATAATGCATGCACATGTAATTCCAAGTTCCCTGTAATAATATTTGACCTTATAAAGATATACAAGTACATGTACATGTACAAGGCGAACATACCTCTTGTCTGATCCGCTATGCCTGTCAAACTCTCTCTTTCCACGGTACTCTGATGAACCTCCTCGTCCACCAAATCCTCCACGTCCACCACGAGGTCCTCCTCTTCCCCTGCCCCTGCCTCCTCCTCTGTATGCCCTGTCTCCTTGGTTGTCTCCTTGGTAGTCTCCACGTGGGGGTCTGTCTCCCTGGTACTCGCGGGGCGGCCTGCTCCCTCCGCTACTCCTGAACTCTGAAGGAGCCTGGTTCTCCTGGTTTTCTAGCTGGCCGTCTTGCCCTTCTCCTGATCTTCTGTTGTTGTTTCTCCTGTAGTTTGAGTTTGGTCTGTCCTGGTTGCCTCCTCGACCTCCTCTTCCACCTCCTCTCCTGCCACCGTCTGGACGATCACTCCTCTCTGGCCTCGAGTCTTTGGGAGAAACAATGGATGACCATTCACAAACTATTATCATGATTTATGCTAAAAAGACCAACTGCAGATCAATTAATTCATTTTGAAAATAACAAGTCTTTTATTTACTCTACAGGCTTTTGCAGTTTTGGACTTTTTCTTTTTCATCACTCTCACACATCTGTCAGGGCTCAGGGGGAAAGTCACACCAAACCAATGGGCTCATGGGCGCTATTGCACTGGGCGTGCTTCATTCCATTTCATGTGACGGATGAAGCACATTCGGTGGTGGCGCTGGTGCAAAAGGATACTAGCATCGACTCCTCACCTCAGCTCAGAGAGGCAAATGTTTGGATGAGAAAGCGGCGCTAGTTACTTTTGCAGCGCCACTGTGCGTGCATGGTTCTTACCATCACACACGTTGGTTTTCTCATTGCCACTGAACTGCATTGACTCTACTACACATAACTTGCCTGTTAGCACTAAGTTAGCACCTGGGAAAATTGCCTTGTTGGTATTGTTTTTTATTTGTACTTTGCTTTGTTAGCTAAATCTCCAATTTGTGAGACACTTTCATAGGGAGAGTCTCGACAGATTTGTTTCTGCTGTTATGACTTTACCAGTAGGGGCGCCCGTCCGAGAAAGAAGATCGTCCTTATAAACAAAGTTATCCTCATAAGCACCGACAAAATGCGTCCTCAAAAATAAGGATTGTCTGCATTTTCGCGGAAGTTTTTTTCCATCAATGCTCTGCGGGTTTCGGGTTACCCAACCGCCCGCTGGCAATGCGATAAATGGATTCCGCTTAAGAAAATAACCTTAGACCGTCTACTTTTATGGGTTGTCCTTCTTCCCAAGGATTTATCGCTCATAATGTGAAAGTCGATGTAAAAGTAGGGTGTCTGATCGCGCACCCGATGTTGTGTGCTAAAATTCTTCCCATAGAGATTACACGCATCCCTATGCAGCCTACGTGCATTGCGCGACCATGCAAAAAAAGTCAATTTTTTTTTTTCAAATCGAGATTCAAACCTTTATCAGTTGTGATCCTGAAGGTGATAATCAATGAATGAGGTGTCATATGAAAGAGCAGGTGAATTCCAATATTTCCAAAGGGGCGTAGCCCCCGAAATTCTAAAAATATCTTGGTCAAAACAGCAATTTAAACATTGTGTCCTGGCTAACTCTGAGGTTTGTCACTTTTGAGATATGACGCCCCGATCGATAAGTAGTCCCAGTCCTAAGGAACAATTCTATGTGATTATATTTTCGCTAGCCCCCAGGGATCACAACTGATAACAGTTTAAAAATACCCTTCTCGCTATTTGGTGGATCAGCTAATTAGGAGGCGTGCGCTCCGCTCAGTCCAAACCATGGTTACATCGCGTAACATCTCCGCGCACGAACGAAAAAGTGACTGAAATTATGGTTGGCAATTCCCTCGATAAACCCGGAAGTGAATACACGTTATAGTCAATGGCAATATCGCGGAGACAACGTGCGTTGTCTCCGCGATATTGCCATTGACTATAACGTGCATTCACTTCCGGGTTTATTGTGCGACGAACGCCAACCATACTAGTCAATCGCACATGTCGCGGAGACAGCGTAGCTCAAGCTGCAAGTCGCGGATTGGCTTAGCAGCATGCGTACGATATGCATACGCTTGCATATCGCGCGATACAGCTGTTTGGCTAAATTTAGCAAAACAACATCACTCTGCGTGGACGTCTTTTTCGTCGATTTTGACCAAAATGATATGAATATACCAGCGTGTTGGAGGGGCTGTAACTTTTGATAGAAACATCGGTGAGACTTGAAATTTGAAATGTATTATTCTGATAACATTTTTTATTCAAATATCAAACAAAAATGGTGAAAAACGATCCCAAATTGAAAATTGAAAAATCGTTCAGACACCCTAGTAAAAGGCATCAAGAAAATCATTGCAGAATCCATTTTCCCATCACCAACGTGCTGAACAAAAATATGAAACATCTGCGAAAATGCAGACGATCCTTATTTTTGAGGACGCATCTGTCCGCACTTACCAAGAAGATCCTTATTTTCGGACCAGCGCTCCTACTGTTTACATGGCTCTTTTACAGTTTTGGACTTCACACACTCACTCATCGGTCAGGGGAATGTCACAAGCCAAATTGACCTAAACTTTATCTCCACTCAACACCATCAAAATAATCAAAGAATGAAGATCATTCCAGCATATCGAAGAAAAAGGAAAACCATAGATCTAATTAATCATTCAGCTAGATCTAGTGACTTGTAGGCTACTGTTTAATACTTCCAAAAGGTCAACACAGACAATCTTGTTTAGCTTGATCTAGACTAAATTGCAATGAACATATTTATTAATATCCAGCTGCTGAGTGCTGTCCAGGCCACTCCCGCATATTTGCGTGGAGCTGGAGCAATTTGTGCACGCATGCCTCAATGAATGAAAAGCATGTCACGATCATGTGGGTTAGGGTGGTGCGACATTGATGGTCGCGCGAGGTTTCCCTTCCAAGAACAAAATGTGCATCACCTTTACATCAATAATATGGAGTTTTGTGGATACCTGAATACATATAAAGAGATATCATATATCATACATTCCATTTAAAAACGAAAAAGTTTGATTCATACCTTCCTTTCTTGATTTTTGCTCGGGTTCTGGGGCCTTCTTAACGGGCTCTGCTTTCTTGATAGGCTTTGGCTGTTTGGGTTTACTACTTTTCTCCTTCTTCTCTTTCATTCGTTGCTCCTTTTCAACAAAGATATCCTGTGGATCAGACACCGTATCCATGTCCAAAAGGAAACGGTTACTTACACCTATACTGTAAACAACCTCCATTGTGATAAAATCCTTCTTTCTATGAAGGATTGGAAAGATATTTAACGCTATAAAATGCGTTCTCTCGTTGATAACTTCGTCATTAAAAATGGCGTTGAGCAATGTACGTAGTTTTCTATGGGGAGCACGCGCGGAAATCTTACCATGTACCTCAATGCACTACACTCTGCATGTTGCAGCAATGTTTACACCGTGCGGCCGTGCGGTCTGGCATGCACCATCAGATAGCTACGCAGCTAGCTAGCAAGCACGTCATGCATATCGTGAGAAGAAAAAAACTCGCGCGCTCATCGTAAGGACGAATATATTTTTGAAAGAATTCAAATATTTTCTAAATTAGCAAATTCGTGACTAATAAAACCTTTCTTACAAACAGGGGATTATTGTATGTGCATCCAATAATTGTTCACAAAAAATAATCATACTTATTCGTTACATTCTCAAACTCCATGTTCTCACCCCGCACCCCCTTAGCTTTTGGATTCGTCCGAATTCAATGATTAAAAAAAAAACGAAAAGGCGCGACAAAGTCATCATGGAGCTCGAGCTATATATGCGATATGCCTAGGTCTACTTTACTTCCAAACCTACTTCTTTCCTAAATTGTGTATTCACTCAGAATAAAGTCAATGAGTAGAATGTCATGTAGATCTTAAAGTGAATCAGATACACATTATCCAGACGAAAGAAATATCAGACAAGACAGACCAAAATTAAAATTACCATATATGGAAGTTTGCATTTGGTCTAAGTATAACTTTATAAGCTAAGGGAATTGCATTGCATTGCATTGCATTGCATTGCGTTTGAGGTATCAAACTAAAATAATTTAAATGTGGTTCATAAATATAAAGTAAAAAGCTTAAATTTACGCTCTTAATACATCTTAATTGAAATCTGAACTTAATATTCTGAGGCTATCCTTTAAAGAGCCCGCTTGAAAAACTCCCATAACACCTTGCAACCGGGGCATTTTGGAGCGCCAAATTTGAGGTCGGTTTGTTGTTAACGCGCGATCATTGACGGGAAACAAAACGCCTAAGATAAAGAAAAGAGGTTAAAATGGCTAACGTTTTGAAGAATTCGCCGCATAAAATTATGCCAAACACCGAAATTCGATCTCCAGTTCGACCACCAAATATTCCCTTGACGCCTTTGAGTCCTGTGAGTCCTGGAATCTGCTATTTTTACCCCTGGAAATGGTCGGAGAGCGCTAGGAACGTCGAGCTGAGCCCCACTGCCAGTTCGTGCGGCGGCTCACCCCTCGTCGAACGAGGGAACAGCAGGGGAAGACCGCGGGCAGAGACAGTGGCTGAGTTGCAGAAGGCGGGAAGCACTGAAATTGGTCGAGATGTTATTCAGTGTATCATTTGCGACCGGATCTTTCCTCGAGAAAAGTCTCTAACTGCCCACCTTCGAACACATACAGGTAAATTTGAGAGAGAGAAACACGAGAGAAAGAGAGAGAGAGAGAGAGAGACTCAGAGTCAGAGTCAGAGAGAGACACAGAGATAGTGTCTAGTGAGATGAGAGTAAGATTAAGTGAGATAGAGTCTAGTCTGATCTAGTGACAGAGTCAGAGAGAGAGAGAGAGAGAGCAGAGAGAGAGAGAGAGAGAGAGAGCAGAGAGAGAGAGAGAGAGAGAGAAATACAGTAAGACAGTAGACCCTAGGCTATCTGAGACTGTGAGAGGCTGTTCACACCGGCAGAGATAGCGCGGTCTAGCGCGCGCTAGACCGCGCTATCTCTGCGGTGTGGAAGGTACAACGTCGTTTCGGTCCGCCCAACAGCGAGCCACGGCGAGCCAACACTGGAACACCTCTTGGGGGTGGTCCACGAGAGATAGCGCGGTCTAGCGCGCGCTAGACCGCGCTATCTCTGCCGGTGTGAACCCGAGCTACGATAGCACGCCGGATTTTATCGTTCTACACGCGGGGAATTTTATACTCATTCTATTTTGGTGCGATCTGAATCTGAATCGGTACAATAGGCCATTTTCGTAATGTAACCAAATTGAATGCATATTGTTTGTGAAGTGCCTCAATACAAAGTATTTCATTCACCTGATAGGAATAATAGTATTTCAATAGTCAGAATGCAACTGCATATATTAAGTGTAATTGCTAGGTAGTTCAAGCCATAATGCTTGTCCAAACTGGCAACAACTAATGTATGCAGTTTGGATTCTGTCTATTGAAATACTGTTATTCTTATCAGGTTAATGAAATCATTTGTATTGAGGCACTTCACAAAGACGTATGCATTAAATTTGGTTACATTACGAAAATGGCCTATTCAACACTCCTAATTAGTAATAGAGCGCGAAATCTTTGACCGCTCTGACGTCATGACGTCACGCGTCATGACAACAGGACCTCTCAAAAAAGGGGGTGCTACGATAGACCGCGCTTTCTCATTGCGGTGTGGATCCGGCGAATGCCAATGGGCGGACCGTGGGTCGCGCTACGATAGCGCGATCCACGGTCCGCCCACGGTCCCCCTTCGCGGTGTGAACACGCCCTGAGATTAGTCTAGATAGTACTAGTAGATGGTACTTTTGGTAGATTTACCAATGCCATTATGACTGTCATGTTTGTGACAGCAGACAGAAAAATCTGTCTGCTTTAGTGCTTGGCCTTGGAGTTGGACCGGTTAATTTTGCTTTGTTTTGTTATCTAAATTAATGCTCTCCTCCAAATCCCAATTTCCAAATCCAAGACAGATTCAGCTCAGACTCGCTGTCTTGTCTAAAACAGTGGAAGGGGCGGATCTAGGGGGGGGGGGGGGTTCAGAGGTTTTAAACCACCCCCCCCCCCCTTGGGCAGCCAAGCGAGAAAAAAAAAGTAAAACAATAAAATTTTTGGAAAATCCTGGATCCACCACTGGGTCAACCCTGGCAAAAAGCTACATCCGCCCCTGAGTGGAACAAATATGGAGTCTAGTCTATCCCTAAATAAACTTGATTTAGTAGTGGATAATTCCATCCAACTCCAAGTTCGAACCAAATGAAGTGAACATACTTCATGTACAGTCAGCTCGGCTCAGCCAGTGATTGACTAGTCTCTCATTTTGACTATCGAGACTCCATCATGATCAAGCCATGGCATGACATTCTTGGTTTAAATGTTTTACTTTACACTTGTGTTTGGAGCACGCTTTCTGCATTTAAAATACTACATTCTTTAATCTCAATTTTAATTAAATTGGCAAAAAATAATGTTTTAATTCAGATTTAAACTTTGATTCCTGCTTATTTTCACTTATGGGACCCGATCCATTTCATTGTTTGGGACTGTGTTTACAAAATCACTGCTGCACTAGGCCTACAATACCTAGTCGAAAATGAACACTAATCCGGCCACGGAAACAGGTTTTAAATTTAATTAACTTACATAAATTGCTGATTTTCCCTGAGTCCTGATTCAGGGGCTACCAATTTTAGATTTCCAACTTTCCAAGTTGGAAATGAAATTTCAAATAATTATTTTATTTTCCTCTCCTCATGTATGATTTACCTCTGAAAAATCCAGGCTAATAGTAATACACACAAGAGCATTGACTTTTTTTTATACTAGGACTCTAACAAGGCAAGTAGAAAATCAAAACCGATAGGAGTCATTGCTTACTAAACAGGACATCAGGCAATTAAAAAAATATATACATGTTTATCATCCCCGCCCGCTTCCCTTTGTGGAGGCCACCTCCTTTTTTTTCCTTTTTTTTTTTCTTTTTTTTTTTTTCTTTTTTTGTTTGTTTGAAATTCTAATTTTAAAGAAAAGAAACATGAAGAACACTGCTAAAATGGATCTATTTCTGATTTTTGTTTTAAATGTCGGCGGCCATCTTGAAAAATAGCCCGACTGTCAAGGAAAATGTACTGAGTGGCCATTTTGAAGAGAAAAAAAAGGGCCTCCCTATTTTTCAAAAAAACTGATGCTAAACATGTTTTTTTTTTTGGAGGGGCCTAAAGCTTTGCAGGGCTACAAGCTTATTTCTTGATATATTCTACCCTTAAAAAGGCAGCTTATTAAGGTGTAGTTAATAATCTACAACACCCAACGGAGGAAGAAAAAGAAGAAGCTATTGCTGCAGCAGTATTAAATTCGACGTAGCTCACTTTGGTAATCTATTCTTTTTTCTTCTTTCCTTTTTTGTGTGTGTGATACAGGAGAACGTCCATATAAGTGCGACTATCCAAACTGCAGCCGAGCTTTCGTCCAGAGTGGTCAGCTCAAGACGCATCAGAGGTTACATACCGGAGAGAAACCGTTCGCTTGCTCAGTACCAGGTCAGTTTTGTTTTGTACTGGATTGGTTTCTTTACCCCCCCCCCCCCCTTCATCCTTCATATCTCTTAACTATTAAAATCTTACTCCGTACTAATGGGGAATTTTGTGTTTGGAGAATTCTTTTTTTTAAGAGTGCAAGATTGATTAATGATGATCTCTTACTCATAACAAATTGCATGATGTAGTGAATTTTTCTCTTTTTTCACCCAATTTTTTTTAATTATTTTTTTTACTTCTACTGGAAAGCGCATCAATTGCGGGTAAGTTGTCATGTATAATGTAGATACTAGATACACCATCTAGGCCAATAGTCTGCAGGAAACTTTTTCAGTAGCTTTAGAAAAAAAATATTATCTTGTGTTTTTGAGCCCTTTACTTCTTCATTTGTCATCAGGATGCCGATCCAGATTCACACATGCAAACAGACATTGTCCGGAGCATCCATACGCTGGCCTTCGTCGTGAGACCACTCAAGTTCAGGTCGATGAGGTCATCAAGACGGACGAGAACAGCGAAGAGGTTGCAGAATGGTTACAAAAGTGAGTGAGAGAGAAATGCAAATTGAATATTTGTCCATTTAAATGATCTTTTTTTTATGAATTCTAAGTTCCTGGTTAATATGAAAAGTATGTTTTACAGTAGAAACTCAGACTCCTCTTGTTGCTATGGTAGCACGACCAAGCTAGACCACTCCTGTTGCTATAAGGTCAGCAGGTCAAATGTTCGCGCTGAATAAAGCGCCTCATCTTCTGCAATATTTTGCTTGTGGGGTTTTGCATTTTATAATTTTTCTTTCTATCTTTCCTCATGTTATTTTATGTTTTCCTTCTATCATTTTATTTTTCTGTTTTTCTTACCGATATGTTATTCTTTGTTTTTCCATCTTTTATCTCTTTTTGTATCTTTGAATTTTCTGTTATTTATCATTTTCTCTTTCTGTCTCTCCCATGTTAGTCTTTGTTTTTCCTTCTTTCACTTCTTATGTTATTCTATGATTTTGTTATTCCATTATTTTCTCTTCCTATCTTTCATTACGCTTTCCTTTGTATATTCCCTCTATCACCTATTCTTATGTTATTCTTTGATTTTATCATTCTATCATTTTTCTTCTTACCATTCCTTATGCTATTCTTTGTTTTTCCTTCTATCACCTTTTCTTATGTTATTCTTTTGTTTCTTTCTTCTTACATTTCCTTATGTTATTGTTTGTTTTTCCTTCTATCACCTTCTTTTATGTTAATCTTTGTTGCTTCCTTCTATCACCTTTTCTTATGTTATTCTTTTGTTTCTTTCTTCTTACCTTTCCTTATGTAATCTTTGTTTTTCCTTCTATCACTTTCTTTTATGTTAATCTTTGTTGCTTCCTTCTATCACCTTTTATGATTTAATTTGTTTTCATCATTCTATTAGTTTTCTTCTTACCATTCCTTACATTATTCTTTGTTTTTCCATCTATCACCTTTTCTTATGGTATTCTTTGTTTTTCCTTCTATCACCTTCTCTTATGTTATTCTTTGTTTTCCCTTCTATCACCTTTTCTTATGTTAGTCTTTGTGTTATCATTCTCTTTCTGTCTTTTTTTTTTTTTCATTCTTTGTTTCTTCATTCTATCACCTTTTCTTATGTTATTCTATCATTTTCTCTCTATCTTTCCATATATTATTTTCTGTTTTTATTCTTGTACTGTATTATCTTTCTCTCTTTCATTACTTTCCCACCAAAACACACTCACTTCTGGTTGAAGATCCCTTGCTGGCACTGTTTATGTTCACACTGCACGCTAGATCCGTCTGGGGCGATCTAGGAAGCAAACCGGTCCAGAAGACCACATCGCGAAGTGATCTTCTGGATCGGTCCTGGCATGGTTTTTGTTTACACTCACAGGAAGTCATTGAGAACAGGGTTTATGCTACATTTGTCTAAAATGTATGAGACCTTTGCCATTTGTAGGCTCTGACGAGTTGAGCAATTGGTTTTCCCTTCAAAGTGACATTGTAGGCCTGGACATATTGACTCTTATTCTTTTGTTTTTCTAAATTCCCCAAGAAATAATAATCACTCTCGATCTATAAGCCCTGATTAATTAAATATAAGATTGAGAAAGACCAATTTAAGTCCACTTATATTTTAATTCGAGAGCTACGTGTATTTCCAAATTAAGCATTTTTTTCTTTTTCTGTAGATATCAACAGAGGCAAGTAGAAGCAACCCTGTACAGCTCCCCCTCCCCACTGACGAGAACACCTACATCTAGACGTCCTAGGGATACGACAAATACTCGAAAGCGGCTCAGGACCGAGAGCGTCGAGTCGGGCGATGCGGGCGAGGACTCGGAGGAGACGCCGAAGCGGGGCCGAAGACCGATGGTGCGGCAGCTTATACGAGAGCAGCAGCAAGAGCAGAAGGACAAGTTGTTAGGGGCCATGGCACTCATCGAACTCGCACAAAATGCATGTGGGAGTTCACGGTAGACCTTCCCTGACCCGACCCGAGGCGAGGTCAAGAGTGGAGAGCAATTTCTCGCTCGAAAAGAACATTTGATGTGAACTTTTTTTAATAGTGACTGTTAACATGTGGTTCCACTGCCGCTAGAGAAAAGATGAAAAGCTATGGTGACTACGTTGAAGTTTTCAGACATCTGCAATTCAGAAGAAATTTCCAGGATGCCAGCTCAAGAATACGTAGGGGGGTATTTCACAAAGATCCTAAGTTGAACTTAACACTAAAGTGGACTTACAAGTTATAGAGAGCCATTTGTAGTCTTAAAATAAAATGTATTCAAAAGCGAAAAATCAAGTATTTTATATTTTTTTATAAATTCCACATCAAGAACATGAAATCTCCTTGATACCAGAAAATATGACAGATTTGAATCAACACTTTATGCCTTTTGAAATAACAGTAAAAAAACATTTTCAAATATGTTAACGGCTTTTCATAATTGTTAAGTCCAACGTAGAGATAAGTTCAACTTAGATCTTTGTGAAATACCTCCCTGACATCATAAGCTGTACGTGTCTTTAGAACTACAATGTATTGGTGTTGTTTTTCTCGACTTACCAACACAGTAATCATGTGTAACCTATAAAATCGCAAAATGCAAATTAATTGTGGTATTTAGAAAGAGAAAATGTCAACTATTTTCCATTTTTCTTGCATGGTTGTGGCTAATGTATCTATCTAAACCAAATTGCCTGCCTAAACAAATCTTGTAAACAGTTAATGTATACATGTAGGTATGTTTGCTGTGCATTTTTATAAAAAGGTGGGCTCTTTGTCATGAATGCTGTATATTTTATGCAAGTGATAAGTACCCTTTCTCTCTATTTATTCAAATTGTATTTTGATACATAGTAGATTTTTGTTTGTTTCTAAGTGTATGGTAATTTATCTTGTGGATATAACTACTGTTGTGAAAAGCAAAAATTTCATTACTATGAAAATCACTGCTTTTGATGTTTGAGAATATGTCTAGATGATAGAACTGTGGTCAGATTGTACACTGTGTACACCTGTTTTACGTATACAAAACGTAAGTGGTATTGATATTTGTTGTGCGGCCTTCAAACATCCTATGTTCGATATGCCATTGTATTGTAGAAGTCAAACTTTTAAACAGTGTTGGAGAAAAGCAAAGACTAGTAACTATGTCATGTACATTGAGTGATTTCAAGTTGGATGTTAGTGTTTAGAGCAGTCAAGAGATCTTAAAATCGAGCTAATTTTCTAAAATGAAATTAAGAGCTCTATACCGATATCAATAGCATAACACTAACACCAAACTGGAAATCAACATATGCTTAACCCCTAGGGGCTAGTGTTAGTGAATAGGACATTTGTACGTAAAATATTAACACATGCCACAAAGGTCGGTTCAGCAGACAACAATTTTGCAAAATCGATAACACTAGCTACCGGAAGTTGACGATATTCAGAGTTCAAGGCCTTAACACCAGCTGATTTCCATTTTGGTGTTTAGGGCTGGTGTTGGTGTTTATTATACACTTACACCAGCCCTAAACACCCAACCTGAAATCACTCATTATGTTGTTTCTTGGAATGTGGTATGTTTTAGTGTGCGTTTTTTTGTGTTGTTTTATTACTGAGTGCAACTCTGTAAATAGCAACATTTATTTAACTGTATGTCCGCACACCTTTCTCCCGATAGCAATTGGTCCTTGACAGCTAATTTTTATATCTATTTCAAAGAAAGCATGCACCCCAGGTTTATAAACATGAAAGTTACTATTTCGTTGTTTTTTTTAAAATGTATATTTGAAGAGCTTGATTCCAAAAGGAGCTAAATCCATATTTTATCAAAATGGAGTTATTTGTCTTAAAATAATGATTTCCTACATGGAACAAAATGCACTATATCACATTTGAAAATTTCACCAGGAAGTATGAAAAAATGTAGGTACAATATCATGTTTCATTCCAAAAGGAGCTAAATCCAAATCGGTTTCATTCCAAAAGGAGCTAAATCCACTTTGGGTACTTCTGAGTAAATCACCTTTTTTATTTCTCCACTTTCCCTTTAGCAATGTACCTTCATGTTGTTTTATATGTTAAAGGTGTCGCCCTGGACCAATAATATATGATTAGAAAAAAAATCTACCAGTTATTTCTGATTTTTACTAAATTTTTTAGATTTTGTGGATTTAGCTCCTTTTGGAATGAAACATGGATTTAGCTCCTTTTGGAATGAAACGGATTTAGCTCCTTTTGGAATGAAAATATGATATGTTGTTTATTTTCTTTTCAAAAGGTATTTTTAGTTGTGATTTCACTATTATTATTTAAAAGGAGAGGTTTGCTACTAAATTTTAATAAATTTCAGTGACTTTATTGAGAAAATATGAAATTTTCCAGGTACAATATCATGTTTCATTCCAAAAGGAGCTAAATCCACGAGAAAAAAAAATCTAAAAATTTAGCAAAAATCAGGAAAAACTGGTAGATTTTTTCTTGTCATATATTATCGGTCCAGGGTGACACCTTTAAAATATATACAAACATTAAGGTCCATGGCTAAAGGGAAAGTGGAGAAATAAAAAAAGGTGATTTACTCAGAAGTACCCAAAGTGGATTTAGCTCCTTTTGGAATGAAACTCTTCATTTGTAGAATATCACATTTTAAAACATTTTATTCAAGACGTTATTTTAATGTTCATATACATTCCTATTTTTAATGTATAAAATGAGGAAATTTGTGTAAACACCGTTTCAGTTACTATCTCTGCATGTTTTTTTTAAGATAAACGGCCTGGAAAGTGGTATAACCGAAAAAAGGAAGGTTTTATCTGTTTTGGAATGCACTTTAAAAAATGGCTTGCCGTAAAATTATTTATGTATCTACAGATCTGTTCCCTGTTAAAAATTCACCCATTCTTTTTTTCTTTAAAAAAAAAATCCTGTTTCAAAGAAACCTTTGTCTAAATATGTCACTTGTTGAATCCATGTAGCACCGTAAGGAGTGTTTCCTTGTATCTATTATTGTTTTTAAAGGTATTTATGTGCGTACTGCGTTAATGATACCTGCCCTTAATAGATTCTGCCTGTTTTTGATATTGATAGTCTATGTGCTGGATGGGAAATTGTGTCTGTAAATAGAAAAAATGTACATACATTGAATGTATGATATAGATAAATAAATAAATATGGATATATAAACAGAAGTGATTTGATGTCTAAGATTTGCATTGTTTAGAAGTGAATGTTAAAGCAGGATGCCTGTGTATGTTTTTTTTTGCGGGGGGGGGGGGGGTTTCCATAGCCAGATGGGGAATAAACTTTGATCTTTTAATGGGATTTTTGTAATGTGACCTAAATCTTTAAGTGCCTCATTACAAATTATTTCATTTATCTACAAATAATTGTATTTCAATAGTCAGAATGTGTATTGCATACATTAAAGATAAACTTGAGGTCTGGTAAAAAAAGAACATGAATTCTCACAGAATCTAACGAAACTTACACTGAATGTTCAAGATTACAAATAAATGTCATGTGCCAAACAATTTTGGAAGAAAATGTATACTGGCTGAGTAATGTGCATAGAAAATCAGGGTAGTACTAGCCCCAACACCATATGTTCTGTCCCATATATATATCTTTCTGTGTAAGTGATTGTTACTTTACCAAGACTGCCAAATTTATGATGATTTTGATGACTCCAGAACCTTGCATTACACACCATTACTTACATGCTATATGATCAACTTTTCTGATCCATTCCACACCTTTTCTTTCACAATGCAATCGCATTACCAGAACTCAAGTTTATCTTTAATTGTTGCTAGGTAGAACAATCATGGCTTGCCCAACCTACCAACATGTAATATATCCATATTGCATTCCGACTATCGGTATTGAAATAGGTAATCATTACAGGTGAATGAAATATTTGTATTGAGGCACTTCACAAAGATTGTGATTACATTACCAAAATGGCCTATTGGATTAATTTTGAGGAGAAAACCCAAGGCTTCCAAAGAAAGTCAATAGAGTTGGATAAAAATCATAAAGTGGTTTCAAATACCCCTACATGAAATGACAACAAATTACAGGATTATGCAAGCATTTTCTGTCTAAGAAAAGTCCAAATTGGTTTCAAATGGGAGGAGATGGTGATAGTCCTCTGAATTTTACACTTTTCTCTCACTTTCTCTTGCAGTGATATACTTTGTTATCCTACCTTTAACAACCATGAAAAAAATATGTTCATACAAAATATTGGACGGGGCTAACCTCTACCAAAACTCCTTGGCTCTTTTTATCTAGTGCATGTTTCAAAGTCATACAAAATTGCCATTTGAAATGTTTTTGGTGATGAATACAATAAGCTGTGATTCAGTCGCTGTAAGAGCACTATATAAGTGTGTTAATATGTTGTACTGTAATACAAAAATTAAGAATTAAGAATATCTTACCCCCTAAGTGCAGATTCTTCTAAATATTTGTCAAATTGTAACAAAATTAACAAAGAAAGAAAGCAAGCACATGACACACAGAAAACTTCTGCACATCTCAGTTCTGTATTTCAGTTTCCAATGGAAAACAAAAATAAAATACGTAAGAAAAATGGTGTGATTTCTCATACGCAAAAAACAGCAAACTTGTAAACATCGAGAGAACGCCTCACTCTTTGGTACAAAGTAGTATGGTATAAACAACAACAAGGTACATAGTTATTCCTAACTACAAAAGTAATTGATTATCTTAATATGGATATTGTATTATTGGTTTGATAAAGGAGTCATATAAAGGCTTTCTTACAGGACTGTAAACTTCATCTCATTCAGTAGGTTGCAAGTGCTCAAATTTAAAATTGTCTTTTCTTATTTTAGTCTCGTTAAGAGAATTTTTTATATTTTCTGTTTTAAATTTATGATAGATTCACATATTGTTAAGTTGGATATTATGGAACAATGGATTCATCAGGATGAACTAAGAAAAAAAAAAGGTGTATTGATTTAAATCTTGTCTCATAAAATGACATCTGAGTGAAAATTAAACTGTGTAAGCCTTTAAATAAGTCGAGAACAATTTTTCAATTTCAGACTCATGAGCAACTTATGGAGACATTGAGATAAAATCAAGTTTACAGTCACACAAAGAGCCTCATATGAATTCCTCTGTAATGGACCAACTCTAATTTATATACATGGTGAAACTTACAATTATGAATTTCAGATGTTTAGCATAAACTCTCAGAACAAATCAATACACAAGAAGGGGGGGGGGGTAATTATTCATTAAAAAATGTCCTATTTACAAAAAATAACCCTTTATTACCAAGAACCCTATTTGCTACCGACTCTAGGCAAGATATATATGCCTCTGTTGTTAACAAAGTTGGAATATTGTTTGCTAGAAGGCGTTATCTCGTAACATATACCACCGAGATACGACCTTTTGGCTCATAACAGATGTGTTTCAAGCATGCTACATATGTCTCTACGACACTGGGTAGTACAGATAATTGGAGGGATACTTTTCTGGTTTAACAGCTCGGAAAAAATACATGTCTATCAGTTTGTGTTCTCTATATGTGTTGAATGTAATTTGTAAAGAAACGAACCTTTGAAAAAGAGAAAGATCATAACGTTTTGACTAAGCTACTCTAGTAAGTTTAAATGCACATATGATCAATTAAAAATGTACCTATTATTCAGATCTCTACGGCATATATCCCCCATTTTCGCTTCCAGATTTTACATGGTTTATGCAGGCCCAACACTATTAAACTTCAATGAAGGGTTTTAAAAAAAAAAAATAATAATAATTTTATTTTATAGAGTTGGTATTATAGCATATGCCCTATGTGAACAATTTGAAATTTGGGGGGTCCCAGGCATCTAACCTGTTAGTATCGAGTCCTGGATCGTTATGAAATAATTATTGGATTATAATTGCACTGAGTGTTAAAGCTAGTTTTTAATCTAGTGGTCTAAAAAAAATCATTGATTAATGATGGAATCCCTCCTTGCTTTTCATCAGAGAAAACTCTCATTAGATACAGCTTCGTGAAATGATGTTTCTCTTCACAACTGATGCAAGGTTTAGATGAAATATTGAAATTGCATTTCAAAGTCACCATTCTCATTTACATTGTGCAGAACCAAGACAATTAAATAAACTATAAATAGAGTTTTGAACAAAACCTCAAGTTGATTCTGAAATCTATACCAGATACAGTAAACGTATCTATCACTACTACGACTACCAGTCTCTAACTCCTGAGTGGAGTAGTGCATGAAAAAATTAAATATTTTGCTATGTAATCTACAAATTTCGGAAGGTGAACCTGCAAATGTCCCATGGAAGCTTTAAAAAATTGCTTATAAATGTACACATGTCACTTCATCTTAAACTCAAACATATACCTTATATTGTTCATATACATTTGGGGCACATGCGTTAGGTGTTTCTTATAATGGTTATATCTTTCTTTGAATGTATTCTAATATGTTACTGGCACACACTTCAACACTTAGTTTAATAGACTGTACATATGAAATTGATTTTTTTTTTCCTTCTTAATTCTCTCTTTGCAATGAAATCTACAATATCTGCAACCATGAAATTTACATCAATGTACATTGTCTTCTCTTAGAAGAAAAGCAGTTTATATACACTAAATTTTATATAATTTGCAGTTTGATATATATATATTTATACATGTTTACGGGGAAATATACATGTAGATATATATATATTCACACAATGAAATGCAATTCACGCAAGGAAGGCTCTGTGCATTAGAACGAGTAGTAAAACACACACATACACACGCTCAAATGAATTTCCTCTAAACTAATACAGGGCAAGACGATTAATTATCATCTTAATGAAAAGGAACATACACTACAAACCAAAAAAATAAATGAATAAACTTACGAAAAACAGTCACAAACTTTATAAGATTGTCCGTCTCCAAGATACTACACGTAGTTAATGTTCTACCAAGTTTCTTGCATAAAAGCGTAGGAGAGTTTCTTTATTTAGATCTGTTGTGTGTATGAAATTACAGCTGTTTGGTTACCAATTCAAACATCCCTGAACTAAAAAATGGATGAAAAGAGATAATATTCAAGAAATACTATTTTGTGCATCAATGAAATGGTAGAAAACTTCAGCCGATAGCTACATGTACATTAGCGTAACGGAATAGTCATTCCTTAGGTAGATTGAGTCCATCAATACAATAACTATGAACAAACATTTTCACCTTAGCGATGCTCCAGAGTTGTATCAACAATGGAAGAACAAATTTCATTATTTCAAAGAAAGGAAAACATCTAGAGCAGTACTTTGTTTGGACATATTGTTATTCAGCAGTAAAATGACAACTTCAACGTAGGTATTCCAACAACCAAGTTAAAACTACCGCTCGTAATATACCAAACAGTGTAACATTTTACAACAAGTTCTTCTTTGCACACGTAACTCTACAAACAAAAACAGAGTCACCAATGTAAACCTGGTAATATAGAGTATTAGTCTGTAGCTGCTTACAAAACCTATGCAGTTTTTATCTGTTGTGATATAACGATGTTACAAAAGCACCTGGTATTATAGTTTTACGTCATATAATATCTCAACTCTATAGTAGTATAAAGAATATCAAAGAGATGAGGATTATTACCGAAGTGCAATTTGATTTGTCTTCCATACTTTTCAAGGTACTATTTTAGAAATTATTCTACGCTCACACTCGCTTAATTAATAGAAATAAAAAATTCAAAGCAAGGATAAATATGGTATGCAAAAGTTAGTTTTTTGGTGTCAAGAGAAATATGCCTACTTTTGTTTACCTTCAAGATATGACGTCCATTTGCTAAACACATGTAGGAAACTGATTCTCCGTTTTCGGAGAACTTGGTCACTTAAAGCTTGTTTTCTTGTTTATATAGATTTCCACTGACAGATGTTATTCCATTTCATTTTAAATGATTAATAGATAGCAAAATGGAGTCATATGAAATTGTGATAAAATTACACTCTTCTCTTACAACAAGGTTTTGGATTCTTTCTCTCACAAGCATGCACTACACATTTTCAAATACCCAATAATGCATGGCATCTCTTTGGTGATATTGAAGATTATTATTGTACCTCTAATTTCCTGGCTAAGATAGGTAATGATATGTCTCACCACATCTCTCAAACTGTAAGCAATAAATATGACATCCCTGCATATAAAATGCAACCCCAATGTACATAGACGTATGTATATTCAAACAGTTGCTATATTACTGCTTGTGCGGTATACATTAACCTGATCATTTTCTTATAATGCCGATTATATCGTGGTTAAGCATGTCACAAAAATTCTGGTCCTGACAAGATTGCACAAGAGATTGCTGTTTGGTCACACTGATAAAGCATGTTTCCACTATCTCGACTTTTTGTTGCGTTATAAGTTACGTTTCAGGTACGGATGGACTGAAATAAATATATCGTCATTGCATCACGAATACTAAATAGTACACAATGCATGTGCGTATACTGCTAGGATGGCACTACATGTATTTATAAAGTAATTCTCTGATTTAAAAAAAAATTAATATAGTATTGCTGGTACATGTCACAAACTTCTTAGCGTAAGACAACATTTGTGCAAATAATAAATATCGTAGAATCAACTAAACCCTCATATGCCTCATGCATTGTATTGTGATAAGAGAAGGAAAACATTTGCAACTACTGATAGTTTGGCCGCAGGTATTTTCAAAAGGGAATGTCCTCCGATTAAACGTAAATTGAGAATACAAACTCACAAACAAAACATAAATGGGGTACCATAAAGGCTTCTTCAGATATGACGCGACAAAAAATGTTAAGTATACTCATTACATTTCTGTAACTTTAAACACAGAGCTCAGATCCTTTGACGCACGCTGTTGCCATTCATTTTATATGTTAAAAAAACGCAGAGGCATTTTTTGCGGACCGCGCCATATCTGAATAAGCCTTAAGGGGTCAAAAAGCTGCAAACAACTGCAAAGAAACCATACAACGCAAGCGTCCATCTCAATAAATAAGACAAAACAAAATAGTGAGCTACATATGCCTTTCTGTATACTGGGTAAATGCTTGTTATGATTAAGATAGATCATTGCACGAAATGAACCCTATTGCATCGCCAAATTGGCAGCTTACCACATGCCTTTTAATAATGGCCCAAGTCTGACTTTGTCATTGACGACGAGAAGTATGTTAGTTAACAGTATATTACACAGTCCAATTACAGGCTTGATAAATACAATTTAGAGTTGTTTGGAGCCAGAATCGAAATAAATATGGATGTTAATAGTGGTAAGATTAGCAAATTTTGTCTGCCACGATCCACAGGGGTATTACATATAGCTCTGTGTGGGACGATATGAAATATTGCCTATGTAGCTCCAAGCGGACGAAAAGTAGGAGTCTCCTAAAAAGCACATACATGTGTAACTCTTAAAATCGCTAACAAAGCACAAACTATTTTCTTTTCTGTTGTTTCAGGTTAATAATGACAGGTCATCAAGAATATGACTTTCAATACAGCTGTACCCTGTAGAATAACAAGCCTCTCTATTCCTTCTCCATGACCTGATAATACATGTACATAATGTGAAACCCTCCATTAAATGGAACTAAAAGAAATTATGATCATTTTCATGACTCTGTGAGTTCTGTTCTTTGCATGTTATTGTCATATTTCTTGAACAGATCCAAATTCTTTACATAGCCAGAGTTTAATTTCTTGTAATGAACAAAAAAGTTATGTCTGCTACCAAATTTTGATCATGGAATTACTCATAGTAAAGCAGCCCCTGAAAGGTACTGGTAGATAGATTTTACACTGAGAGACATGCTTCACCTATGGTAGCCTTAATGTAAAAACAAAATGTAAAGCGAATTAAATAATATTAGCAAATATTTCACTCTTTAAAAATACTTATATGCTACATGATCAAATTTTTCTGATCGATTCCACACCATTTCTGTCACAATGCGATCGCATGACCAGAACTCAATTTTATCTTTAGATAAAAACAAACAAACAAACAAGCAAATTAAAACAAAGCAAAGAGCAATCAACTTGGAAACACTTCATACAACACACAAATCTCTGTTGAACAAGCTATAATAGGAGCTTATAATGCAAAGCACACCAATGCCAAAATGATAACTTTGAGGGCAAGAGCAAAACAAACTGACAACTCTATAAGAAAAATAATGCAACTAGCATGAACTCAAAGCTTAAAATGAAAAAAATATTTTTTGATTGTGCGTAACTCAAGGTACATGGTTTTTAACTACCGGTAGATACTTGTTATCTTCAGAATCAACACAAACTATCATAGCCATCCGATTCCAAGCTAAAGGTGTTATTGTCAAGGTTAACTAACGACTTCAAGTTTAACTGTCATGAAAGTATTACGGTGTAACCGCCAAACACAGTTCCATACACAGATTGTAAAGATCTTTAGTGAATGGTTATTATTCACGTCACAAACAACTTTCAACTGAGAATTACAAAGCAACAAAAGTCAGTGCAGATATCCAACTTCTCGACAAGAACATTCTTAAATCGGGCCTTCCGAAGGAATTCCTATGTCTTGTCATTCTCACAACTGTTGGTCTTCTGTATACCTTGTAAACCAATTCATCATGGTACTGATTACATGTTCATTAAAACTGATGGAGTATTAAACTTTGAATAGCTCTCATAACGGGTGACGATGTGTAAGAGGCTGGATTCACAATGAACAGCGCCCCCAATGGCAAGCCGCAATAGGTCAATTTTTCAGCTCGTGGGTAAACATCTTTTAACATTCCAGGAGATGGACTGTCTTGGTATCAGCACTAATTGTTACCCCAGATAAGCTTTTCAAAACTCCCCACAAAAACTTCTGATTAAAGGCCTGTATCTATAATAGTGCCACAGCTGATATTTATGCCGACTCTTTCCCATAATGCATCACAAGAAACTGTTGATTGTGAAGCCATCGTATCAAAGGTATCTTACTATTTCTTTGTGTACATTTGAACACTTCAACCAAACATATCGAACGTGTAGATTTGACAGTGAAACACAACAGCAGGAAGATTTAGAACACGTCTGTTAACAAACACATTACATGAAATATGAAATGCCAAAGAGTATAGAATAATGCCACGCTTTATCAGAAGTCCAATTACATCATTACCGGTATTTGAATAAATATAAATAACTGTGTAATTCATTTGAAGGACAAATAGATATAAAGGTGTTTTCACAGTACTAATTCTCAAGTAGTAATTAATAACGGTACAGTAATTCATTCATTCACACGCCAATTTTCCACCCGTATTTTAACATACAGCAAAAAGAGCAAAAATATGTCCGAACTCTATTTTTTTGTTTTCGTTTCAAATAACATATGTACATATTCATGGGAATTCTACAAAAAATTCCTGCATAGAACAAGATACATTTCATGTCCGCTGACATGAAAATGAACAACAACATATTTACAACTTTTCACTGGCATTAATACCTAGCTTTACATAGGAAATATGTATCTCAGGTTATTAAAGTAATCCTATGAAACTTTGCGAACGGTTGCAACAAAATAACTTGTTTGCTTGACTTTCAACAAGATATATTTATCAAATTTCTTGCCCTCGTGTTCGGGAACTTGGGAAAGTGTTTTTTCTATACTTTCAGAAATAAAGGGCTATATGAAATGATTGTCGACTTGATACAAAATAAAATAACATTGAAACAAGCATGCACAATTTAAGGCTTGTTCAAATGTGATGCAGTTTACAGCAGCGTTTTTTTTTAAAATGATGATGTAAGTGTACACATCACATTTCTGTTTCTTATAACACAGACCTCAGTGGATACGCGTAGGTAAGATCTATGTGCATGTAGACGCCATTCTTTTACACATTGTAAAAAACACTGTGTTTTACTGCTTCATATCTAAACAAGCCTTTAGAAAGTGTATAGATTTAAAACAGAAAAGCTGTCAACTATCTACATTCCATAAAGGGGAGACCATTTCTACACAAAGTTTTACTGGAAGGTGATCAAAACTTTCATCAGCTATGTCGATCCTCCTTAGAACCATTCTATGGAAATCAAGTATGTTGGGGGCAGAAAAGCATTAAACCCAAGGATAAAGAGAGAGTAAAACTAGCATAAAATATCATAATTTAATAAGATGTTGGCTGTTACAACATGTGTATCAGTCAAAAACTAAGCTGCATGCCTTTAAAAAAAAAAGATAGTTGACTGAACTCTTCATGCTGAAGAACCAAAAGTCAACAATTACTTGCAACCATGTTTGCCTATGGAGGGGGGGGGGGGGATTATTCATATTTTTTTTTCTTCTTCATTCACCTGAATCCTTATCAGTATAAGGAATAGAATGACTGTTTTGAAAAGCTGAAGATAAATGCTACATGCAGATCTTTTATTAAGATGGGAAACATGCTTCCTGTATCACTAGATTCACAATGATTCCTGGATTCATGTACGATGATTTTCCTAATGAGAGATACCACTGCTCATTCGATTCATCGAAGAATACTACAAATACATTTGGTCTAATAATTCAAAACTATTCAGCTGCGAAATAGACGAGATCGTGCAGACCTCCGCATAGCATTCTGTACGGACCCATCCTAAATGCTGCCCTCTGGAGCAGGCCTTCCCTGGAAGAGGGGATATCCCTAATTGTATTGTAAGAAGAAATGCATGCAGACAGAGAGAAAGAGAGACACACAGACGGACATTAAAAGACATACAAAGAGGGGATGTCTATGAAACTACAATCATTAGGTGTTGCACGATGACTTCTTGCCCACCGTCTCTTGTGGAGTGGAGACCGGTGGTGATGATGATGATGATGAATAATGCATGAGAAATAACGAGCAACGGTCACACATGGATGGAGCTTGGATGCTTTGTCGTCGTCATCGGTCAAAGCGAGCGGCCTTTCCGATGACCGACTTAGTGGCTACGGTCCAGAGCGTCCAAAAACTTGAGGTCAATGAGGAATGGTACTAACTTGTGCCTGGAAATAAAAGAAGAAGAAATTGTTATTAAACAGCCTTTCAAATTTCAAGTCAAACAAATCAGAACTATCAATAAATACAAAATCCTTCCTCTTGCAAAGGAGACATACAGGTGTATCTGGGCTTTTTTTAATAACACTCCTTTTTGTTAACATTTACATTTACATCTTTTCAGTTTTGCTTCTCTCCCCTTCTCTGTCGTGCGAGATTTTATAGCTCTACATCACACAATATACATTTATAATCAGTAAAATTTCTCTCTCCTTCCCTCCCTCTCTTTCTATATGTCCACCACATCCTCTGTGTGTGTGTGTGTGTGTGTGTGTGTGTGTGTCTCTCTCTCTCTCTTTGTCTCTCTCTCTTACACTATCTCCCTATTACTCTATCTCTCCACAACACCCTCTTTCTAGCCCTATGTCTCTAAATCTTTCTCTCAGTTCTATCTCCCTGTCTCTCTCTTAATCCTTTCCTACCTCTCCTATTCTTCTCCAACATTTCACCAATTAATATATTTAACTCTCCATCTTTCTTTCTCTCTCTCTCTCTTGCTTTCTACCTCTCTCTTACTCGATCTCTCCAGCACATCCTCTATGTTCTATGTGTCTATAACCCCCCCCCCCTCTCTCTCTCTCTCTCTCTCTCTCTCTTCGTCTTCTCCCACACCTCCATCAAGTACTCACCTAATAGGTAGAAAGGTGAGGATGAGGAGAGGGAAGACCATTTTGAGGTAGGGCCACGGGGAGAAGCCGAACCCACAGAGGATGCCGAGCTGAAGAAGCTGAACAGCGGTGAAGAGATGCATCTTACGCTGTGGTACTCTTCTCACGTAATGGTTGGGAGGATAGGCAGCCTAGAAGAACAATGACAATACATGTTAAAGGTAAAGACCAGTTTTGGAAACACCCCCCTCTCAAAAATAAAATGGAAGCTCTTATTACCAATCATGTGAAAGAATATGTTTTGACTAATACGTGATGATACAAATTTTGCAGAGAAATCGCCTACTAATTGATATATCTGGAAAATTATTATATCTACCGTATGAGTCAAAAAAAAGTTTACACCTTGAAAATTGCTACTAATTTTAAAAATCATCTATGAACAGTAAATTATTATACATCTTATGAAAGAGTGTTTTATCCCAAATTGTTTGGTATCATTTTTGTGTGATTTGTGTTCACGCTTGGATAAACAGGAGGCATTGTTTGCAAGAGTGCAAAAATCGACTTGTGGTCTAATCCCTTCTGGCCCAGTAGTATTGACGGTCTTTAAACCACTCGACCATGACACTTGTACATACGGTGCAATCCCACAGAAACTCAAACTTATTCTCCCTTTAAAGAACGTAATCTAATTACAGTCAAACCTGCTTTAGCGACCACCTGTCTATACAGACCACAAAGAAGACCTGCCTATTTAGACCATTTTTCATGTCTCCCTTGAGAGGTCTTTATACACAGGTTACACTGTATTTGGTTCTGGGTTTAGTCTGAGGTTAATTATAGCTTTGGAGATTCAAGAAGTGTATGAGATTGACTGTGTAGAACCTGTTGCCAAAGAAAGTGTCCCTACATACAACCTCCCTCTGTCAAGACATTTATCCTTACTTGTTCTGTGATGAGTAGAACGATGCGTTCAAAGAGCTGGTTGCCGTCGAGGGCGGTATACGCGATGTAGAGGAAGAGACCGTAGAGGACAGCCTTGGGGATGTACTGGAGAGGGGTTGGTAGCATCATGATGGACAGTCCTATCATGATGTGCGAGAAGAGTGTGGTTAGACGCGTTTCTCGTACTCTCACCACGCTGTATGGAAAGAGATTAGAAGAAAAAGATTAATTAAGGGATGTACCCTGCAGAGGGGTTGGTAGCATCATGATGGACAGTCCTATCCTAATGTGCGAGAAGAGCGGGGTTAGACGTGTCTCTCTCACTCTCACCACGCTGTATGGAAAGAGATTAGAAGAGAAAGATTAGTTAAGGGTGCTAGATAAACCTCTGTAACCTTCACCTCATCATCAACAAAGATGGCAAAAGTCACCTAAAAAAGTGCTTGAAAACAAATTTAGACATGAAAGAGAATTCTTATTATAAAACAAAGTAGGCCCCTGTTAACATCAGTGAAATAGAAATAGTGAAAGTTTGGAAACAACGTGCCAAAGATTAAAAATCAAATCATTATTACCGTAAATATCTTGTGGTACGCCATGTGTATAATAGAAGAAAAATTGGAGGAATTATTATTATAAACTACATATTGAGATTTATTAGAAAGATTACTTTCAAACCAAGCTGACAGACAAATTTGAGTGTTGTTCTAGTTTCCGAGTGGTGAGTCAACACACTGATTACTGAGCTGGGAGACATTGCCAGGCATAGTGCCAGGTGGAGGGGCATAAATAAAAAAAAAACAATTTTTAAAGTGCGTCTTATACACATAGATTTACGGTACGAGTCAAAATCCTGAGTGGTGAAGGATCTGTCAAAGCAAAATTAGTCATGATGTCTGACATTGTACATGGACTAACTCTACCTCCATTGAGCACCCTAATTCTTTGCTGGCTTCATGATCTGGGGGTGTTTCACAAAGATCCTAAGTTGAACTTATCTCTAAGTTGGACTTAACAATTATGAAAAGCCATTAGCATCCTTTAAAATATTTTGTAAAAATTATTTTAAAAGGCATAAAATGTCGATTCAAATAATTCATATTTTTTATTGTCATGGGAGATTTCATGTTCTTGATGAGGAGTTTATGAAAAGTCTAAAATACTTGAATTTTTGCTTTTGAATATATCTTATTTGAAGGCTACAAATGGCTCTCCATAATGTTTAAGTCCAACTCAGAGATAAGTTCAACTTAGGATCTTTGTGAAACACCCCCCTGGTGTAATTGACGCTACATGTAGTTAATGGAAACAGTAACATATTGCGTGCATCTTGCATTCAAATTCTTAAACTGAATGTTTAATCCAAGAAAAATGTGTTACTCTTGCTACCTCTTTCACCAGGGACCCATTTCACAAAGCCTTTTTTCAATGACAAATGACAAAATTCAGTGACAAATCTGTTGATAACCAATCAGAAGCAAGGATTTCAGTAGCTTATAACAAAACCTGTCATTTGTCACTTATGACAAGTTTTGTGAAACGCCTACCAGAAGACTCGAATCAAACTTACATGTGGTAGACGTGTCCCTGGTCGACTCTCTCCTCGACGTCGGCTAGCGCCCTCACATGCAGCGGAGAGTGAGGCAGAGCAGCGTGGACCCACGGTAGACCAAAGATGGACACAAAGCAATTCATGATGGCTACTACAAACAGGTCCAGATGGTACGCTGTCCCTTTCTTCAATCTATAAAAATTGATTGAAAATGAACCATTTAGGAATTATAATTATCAACTTACATAAAGATGGTAAGTTGATCCTTTAAATCCTTCTTGAAAATTTCTTGTTTACCCAGGGAAGCCTTATGAGTATTGATACTGTCATCCCTGAGAGCCCTGTAATTATGTCATTAAGCCGGCTGCAGGGCTATAGGATGCACCCATATTGGAATAAAGGGAGATTTTGATATTTTCTAGCATGATAATACAAATGATTGACAAAAGATCAGTTTTTGAACAATTTTGTACTGAAAAAACAACACGTCATATTTTAGCATGGCAATGCAAAAACCTGGTAAAAAACTGTTTAGTGGTTATTACATAGTGTACCAAAGATAAATGTTGGTCAACAACCGTATAGGTGATTTTCCATTTTTGTAAGGAATAAATGAAGAAATAGTAAAAAGTCCTATGGGATAAGGATGTTCTTTCTAATGTAATACATCACCCCCTAATATTTATATAGTAAAAAAAACTGTCAAGAAATAAAGTGAAAACAAATTAAATTGAAAAAATGGGGGGAAATGAAATAAACAATTAGTAAACGGGAAGGATTTTTTTTTTTTTTTTTTAAATAAGGGAAAGAAATAAACATTGACAAACATAGAAAAAGAAAAGGAAAATATGCTTACTTGTTAGCAGGATTGTTAACAAGGGCGCTAGATATGTTTTGATCCATGAAGAAGAGTAGAGAGAGACAGAATCCTAGCCCCATGGAGCCGGCTACCATACCGATAGTGATCCCCTCAAACTTGGTCACTTTCAGAGCTTCACCATCGTTATAGCTAAACAAGTCCGCTGCAAAATACAAATAAGCAAGAATGTATTATATATTTTGTATTTGTACGTATTTGTATTTGTTTGTATTTGTATGTACTTGTATGTATTTGTTTGTATTTGTATGTATTTGTATGTATGTGTTTGTATTTGTATGTATTTGTATGTATTTGTATGTATTTGTATGTATTTGTATATATTTGTAATTTTTATGTATTTGTATTTTGTATGTACATGTATTTGTATTTTATATGTATTTGTATTTTGTATGTATTTGTACGTATTTGTATTTTGTATGTATTTGTATTTTGTATGTATTTGTATTTTGTATGTATTTATATTTTGTATGTATTTGTATTTTGTATGTATTTGTATGTAGATGTATGTTTTGTATGTATTTGTATGCTTTTGTATGTATTTGTTTGTATTTGTATGTATTTTTATGAATTGACAAATTTGTCAAATATATCGATCCACGGACTGGAGGTTCATAATATCGATGACGATTTGTAAAATTACATTCAGTGCTGAAAAATAGATTGAATATGATGGATTATTGTTCAGACTTATATTTGTTATCAACAGATATGATGCAGGCACTATTCTTTTCCCCAACACATGGTACTAAATAAGACAAGCAAAGTGTCTGTGAAAGAAAACCTTGGAAAATGTTCATCCTATTCAACTCTGTGTAGAGTAAAGAAAATAGCATGAAAAATCATTAATTTGGCAACGTTCAGTCATATTGTATAAAAACCATTTCACCTTGTCTAATGGCAATCAAACTGAGATGGAAAATATAGATCCATGTTTACCGGTAAGCATATAGCATCCATGAACAAATTTTCTTTGTGCATAAATGTTCACTACAATCCTTTGAGAAATGTATTAAACTGAGTGTTACAAATAAATAAATAAATATAGTTTGGTTGCAAATCTGACGAAAAAACTGGTGAAGAGTATGCTGCTTTAGTGACCACCTGTCTATGACAAGCACATTTGTTGTTTCCCTTGAAAATGGTTTCTCATTGAAACATGTACTAAAGGAACCTGTCTACAAAGACCACCTGTCTATAACAAACACATTTTTTGTTTCCCTTGGGTGGTCGCTATAGACAGGTTTGACTGTATAAGTGTTGCCAATTTGATTATTTATTATTTTGAGTGATCGTACCTTCTGTACTCCTGAAGACGTAGGATCCGACGAAGGACATGATGAGAACGGCCACTGGAAGGGCGTAGTCGGCCAGAGCCTCTCGCTTGCTTGCATCAAGAAATGGACTGAGAGGAGGCAACGAGACGAGTAAATTGATTTGGAGACGATCGCATCACATGGTGATCTAATTTCACATTCACATGAAGTTTCAATATTGTGGTTAAATTCACCCAATTGTTAGACAAGCAAAATTGATTTGGAGATGATCGCATCATATGGTGATCTAATTTCACATTCACACAAAGTTTCAATATTGTGGTTGCATTCATTCAATCGTGAAACAATGTGTTTAAAGGTAAAGGGTAGTTTTGAAAAAGAAAAGGGCACTGGAAAGACGTTTTAATATACATGAACCATGACATGATGTTCTTTGATCATTAGAAAAAGGATCGAGCAATCATATTTTATTGCTTTATGCCAATTTCCAGAGGAGCAAGTATAACATATTGGATTCTTTCTCTTCCCCACCCCTCCTCTCTTCTCTATTTATATCTCTCTCTCTCTCTCTCTCTTTCCCCTAGTTCTTATCTTTCAATTTTTCTTTCAATCAGTCAATATATCAATCAATCAACCAAGTAGTCAATCAATATCTATCAGTCAGTTAGTTAGTCAGTCGGTCGGTCGGTCGGTCGGTCGGTCGGTCGGTCGGTCGGTCGGTCGGTCGGTCGGTCGGTCGGTCGGTCGGTCGGTCGTCGTCGGTCGGTCGGTCGGTCGGTCGGTCGGTCGGTCGGTCGGTCGGTCGGTCGGTCGGTCGGTCGTCGGTCATCGGTCTGTCGTTAGTCAGTCTGTCTTTCTGTCTTTTTGTCTTTCTGTCTTTCTGTCTTTCTGTCTATCCATCTACCCATCTAACCATCTATCCATCCATCTTATCAACTCACCTCTTGGTGAAGTTGTAGAGCGTCACACCAAGCCAGAGTGTGCCCAGCATGAGTAGCAGGTAGAGGATACTGGAATCCCTATGGCACTCCGGAGTGGAAGCGAGGGTAGTGGACAGTTGGGTGGAGATATTGCTCAAGAGGGTGGTGGTGGGGTCGGTATTGCTATCGTTGTAGAGTAAGCTGGACGGTGTGGTAGTGCTTAACAGCGCCACGGCGGTTGCCCCCGTGCACTCGCTTGCAAGGTAATGCTTTTCAAATTCTGGAAAGCAAAGTAAAATGTAAAATTTCAAATGAATCAATTGCAAATCAACTTAAGATGACTTAAAGGACTTAAGATGCCACAAAGTTTGTACATTATGAATAATGAATTAGATAACACTAAGCATGTTTCAAATAATGCTTTCCATTTTAATTGTTTATCTTGATAAAAATATTCTTTCATGGTACATGTATCTTACGTCAAAACTAATGAACTAAAAAACTCATTTTGAACTTAACAGGAGGAAAGATGGGCTCTGCTTAGAACAAAAACTTATGTTAACCTATTTTCAGACTGATTTAATGCCCTACCAGCTCTCAACAGACAAAATTGCATACATAATTTGAATTTGGTTAATTCAAACCAGCTTACAGCACTGAAAGGATTAATTCAGAAATTTGGTGATAAGATTTTATGAGCTCAACTCTTGTTATAATTTGTACTCACCGGCAGCCAAATCCTTGAAAGCATCTACACAAAATGCTATTGATACAAAAAGAGAAAATATCTCCTCCGTTGATCTGCAACATTAAAGACAAAAAGTGAACATTTTAGAAATCACCATCTACCAGTTCTTCAAAAGTTTTTATAAATATCAATCAGGTAGATGTATTTGTTTAAACAAATAAGCTATTTTGTATATAACACAGTTATTTTTAAAAAAGCATTTGTTTTTTTAATCAGTACTATTTTTATTTCTATGTTGACATCAAGCTATCAAAAACAGAATAGGCACTCAAAAATCTTTCTTTATCTGGATCAAATAAGAACAAAATAGAAAATGATGAAATATGCACAATTTCCAAAAAAAATTGTTGTATACATGATTTAATTCAGATTCAAATATACAAAGTTCAATCAACCCTTGAAGTAGGCACATCACTAGCTAGTAAAAAGAGAGAGAGAAAAGGAGAGAGAGAGAGAGAGAGAAAGAGAGAGAGAAAGAAAGAGAGAGGGAGAGAGAGGGGGAAAAGAAATAAGCACAATACAACTGCTCAACATCTTATTTTCAAAGAGCGCCACCTAGTGCCATCTTCTGCAGAACCATGCTAATTAAAAAAGGTAGCATAAACCCAGCGGACCCCTGACCAGCTCACTTACACGAGAGACGATTACTGAGTTTCAGATAATCATGAAGATATATTTTTCAAAAACGATTTCCCTTGTGGTACTATTTGATTCTGGTGAAATGTGACTGAATTCAATTTTTAATGATTTTGTGTCCTCGTATGTACGAGAAAGACACACAGGCAACGTCAAAACAACCAAAGAATCCAGAATGCACAAGATTTGCACAAAGGTTTTATAATCCTACTATGAAAATAGATATCCAAGATTACTTATAGGGAAATATAGGGACAGGCATATACATGTACATGTATTTGTGTCTTGATATATTTTCATATCCCTAAATTCAGCAGCTTTTAATTCTTCTATGAGTGGGCCTGAGTTGAGTTTGAGCTAAGAATATTTATACACCGTAAAAGCAAAAAACCATTCAAAGACTGGTTTAAATCAGGGCCGTGTAGATAAAAAGCAACAAAATCATGATATACACAAAAGTAATATAACACTGACAAGTTTACAACCAAAACATATTGTATAAAGCAAAACAAGCTAACGTGATCAATTGATAATAAGCCTTAATATCATAAATATGTGAAGTAGACACAACAATATATAGACTCAAAATGGAATAACTGTTTGGGGTCAAATTCCTAGTTTTTGGGGAGGTCATTTTGCCCATACAACCATGTTGTCCTATCTTACCATTATATCTGAAAATAAAGATGATTAACCAATAAATGTCAGAGGTGTATCCAACAAAGAATCAAGCTGGTGTATGCTCCTGTTTGAAAATACTGCAACTTGAAATGAGATACACCAGATGAGGCTGCCCAAATGTATCATTCCTCCTTTGTAATTAGAGGATTATGCCCCAATGTATCAATTTCTTGGTAGGTCACGGATCATTATTTTTTTAATTTCTATTTCCTATTGTTTAATTTATAATCAATACATTTATTCTATTTATTATCATTTTTGTTTTAATTAATGATTTTTATTTTATTTATTTATCTATTTATTATTATTATTATTATTATTTTTTTTGTTGTTGATTTATTTCATTATTATTATTATTATTATTATTATTATTATTATTATTATTATTTTATTATTATTATTATTATTTTTTTTTTTTTTTTTTTGGGGGGGGGGGGGTAGGGGGTTCGGGGGCTTGGGGCTACCTTAGGATGGAATGACTCACCTTGTAGACCACTTCATAAGCTTGCTTGCATCGGTGAAAGAGTATATGATGAGAAACAGAGAGTTCCAGACCCCGACCAAGGCATACATAGAGTAGAAGTGGAGATCCAGGTCCTCACATATCGTATAGAGAACTGAAAAGAAACAGAGGGTTGAAAATAATAATAATAATAATATATATATATAATATATATATAGCTAAAACAACAGTGCCACTTTGTCAGTTAAGAAAGTATTAACTTCATTTTGCCATGATAGCTTTGTACAATAATCTGAACTTGGAGAGCATATAATTGTTTTTATTTTAAAATGTAAAGCGCTTTGAGCATTTTTTTTGTAAAGGCGCTATATAAATATTAATATGTATGTTTCCAACATCCTGCACTAAAACCAGATTCTTAACTTCAATTGTGGAATGTACTTTACCCGTACCCCAAATCAAACCTGAAACCTCTTTGCAACCCTAACCCTAAAATCTTTGACAAATAAAGCCCAGAGCAATTGTCACAGGAGCAAATGTTGGAGAAACCAGAGAGAGAGAGGGAGGGAGGGAGGGAGGGAGGGAGGGAGGGAGGGAGAGAGGGAGAGAGGGAGAGAGAGAGAGAGAAAGACAGAGAGAAAGAGAGATCAAATTAAAATATCCTTTCAACTTTCTAGTCACGACCATTGAAGGCCACAGAGTATGTGCATCCTTGATAAACAAACAGCATCTCGAATGTGACAATAATATGTTCTACAGGATAATATTCCCTTGTTCATTTCTTGCAAGTTACCAATGGCCAACATCCTCTCCTTGTTTTTAAATATTTTCAAGGAGAAACCAATCACAGTACATGAAATTAAAATCAATATTTTCATGTTTTGACAGATACAGCTAAAACAATACTGCCACTTTCCTCAGTTGAAGAAATGATTAACTTCATTTTGCCATGACAGCTTTGTGCAATAATCTGATCAGAAAACCTATTTTTCACATTCAGTTATTCTGAAGTTCTTAAACTGCATTGTAGTTCATTTGCTACAGATTTTCATAAGTAGTGAATGTAAAAACCTATTGAAATTACTAGCAGGATAATCTTAATAAATAAAGCTACAAATACAAATACAATCTATAGACTGAGATAAATGTAATCAACATAGATGTTACAGTAAGAGTCAGACAGATATTACTGGACGAAGCAACAAAGAAAGTGCTTTTCAAGAAACACAATTTAACCCTTCACCTGTGGAAACTGGGTAATACCTGTGTAAAAGCCTATGTGAATGAGAGAACTCGGTAGTCAATGGGTGAAATTTGACTCTTCAACATTTACTGTAACTTACACTTGGAGTATGAGTTCTTAAGATCAAACTCCCTAAATTCAGTATTTTCTTCTCTTTTTGTCACTTCACATTCAATAGCACAACTTTATACTCTTACCCAACACACTGATCAATCAAAATGCATGAAAAATCAATACCATCTTCACTACTACTATTCATGCGCAAAATAGAAACCTACAAGAAATAAACATTCTGATTTCCCAAAGAGCCATTGAATATTGGAAAGGGTATACCCCATTGCTTTCATTTCCTGCTCTCAGCTCCATTCTGAAAAAAATTCAGGCATTTACAATCTCTGTTTACATCCGTCCGTGTTTTCATGACATTTTGGGGAGTCTCCAACTTGAACAGATTTCGTTGGATGATGATTTTCCAACTGCTCATTTTACGCGCTCCATTAGCGTTTAGTACGACGTGGGGTAAATTGTTGCGAGAGAGGCATGCCGCCGCGGCACTAGGGCTAGCTCCCAGGGTTGTCACGGCTCGGCTGCGCTAAATATAGCCCGGCCGGCGTCTCACTCAGATATTATGCCGACTGCGATTTATGGCGGTTCATCATGTGCGTGGGAGAAAGCTAGACACGGAAACCAGAAACTCTGCGGGATTAAGCTCATGGCTGTGTCTGGTTGTATACAATGACTTTGCAAGGTTCTGACATAATCATGTCGAGGTTTTCAGATAATTGAGAGGAATCGTGCAGAATGGCATGTTGGGAATGTCTTAATTTTGGGTAGTTTTTCAGTCTCATCAGCACCTTTGATTAAGCAACTAGATATTGGCGCTTAATAAATTCCTGGATGGGATTATATTGTATTGGATTGGAAGTGTGTTATCTTACTTATGATCGTAGAAATTTGAAAAAATATTACTCACAAAATATAACCATAGACATAGTGGAAGATTAGAATTATACAAATAGTCTGAATTTAACAAATGCAGCCCCTGAAGAAATTAATGATGTCTTTGAATGCAATGACCATTCCCGGTGATCATTATTTCATAGTTTAATTATTGATCTTTGTTTCTCCAACTTAATGAGAAACTGTTGAGTAAACCAGTAGGGGATGTTAAGATTGGAGAGCTATCTCAGCCAGGGACTCTACTATATTTCCATGTATCTATTCATGTTATATTCGATGAAGAAACAGGAGAAAAATGAACATCAAAACAGAAATGAACCTCCAATGTAAGAATAAGGTTTGGAAAGTCTCGATTTTAAAATATAACCGCACACAACCTGTCTGAAGTGAAAACACTCCATTTTCGCTCAAACACAAAAGAACAGGTAGGATTCTAGTTGCAGCTTTTCCTTTTGTTTTAATTGTTTGAAGAAGGAGAAGAAAAAGAATCATAATTATCACTCTAGTGTAAAGTTATGGATCATGCAATAACATTTTAAGAGTTATCTCGCGGCCTGTAACACTTATCTTGCGGTCTGTAACACTTATGTAGCATTATATCAAGGAAAAGATTCATGAATGCTGATTAGAACAGTCTACTGATTGTTCAGCTGAATGAATTACCAACGAAACCAACATGAGTAATTGGGTAATGAATATAAATTAGTTGCATGCATATCAAATGTGATTGAATGGTTATAAATAAATTGACAAAACGCCCCCACTTGAATGACACATAATGTACTTAATTGATTCAATTTGTTTGATAGATAAACAGAGTTTGGGGTAACATCCTAACCGATAGCTAATTAAGATGAGCTCTTCTGAGCTATTCTCTCCTATATCATCGGACTTATTGACTAAAGATGTAGATAGATTCTCAGAATATACAGTACAGAGTATCTGCTGTGAGAACTTAAGATTGGAAATACTAAACAATCAATGAAATGAGGCTCAGTATCGATATAGAAGGAAGTACCCTACCCCATCTTCTTTTAAAAATGAAAGATTGCTTACATATTTCAAAACAACCTTCCGAAACCTGGGGAATCCTTTCTATAATTCTTTGACAGGTAAGGTAAAGATTACAAACAGCCTTTAAAAACAAAGGACAATTTCGATGTTTGGCTTGAAAGTGTTATCAATTTTTTTCTTCTTTTAAAGATTTCTTAACCTACAATGTATGCATCACCCTTTTCATCAACTAGAGTCAATTAAATTGGAATTTACCTTAACAATTAAACAAACTCACACAATGGGCACACAAACGTTTGCAAATATCTGCAAACATGTAAAAATGTCTGAAAAAGTTCAGTAACTATGTCTCCACACGTCTACAAATAATTCCCATATGTCTGTAAATATCTACAATTGTCTGCACAATGCACATGTTTGTTAATGGTCTGTAAATGGTCTGCGAATGGTCAATTACTGGTTCATTAACATTTCATCAATGTAGACTGACTAATACCCTTAAAACCCCTACTGGTAGACAACAACTCAGAGAAATTAAATACCACATTTAATAATTCTAGCACAGCTTGGTGTTTCAGCTGCAGAATCACGTTCATGACCTTCCTACTACCGTTCTAATACCCGCTACACTAATCTAGTTTATAGGCACTTCATTAACCTTTATGCAAGGTCTGTCAGCTTGAAGAATAATACTGTCGCTGCAGACACACTGACACTCGTTATTAAGCTGGATTTTTTCAGATTGTTGTCAGTTATTTTTAAATTATGCACAAAAGGTTCAATTTAACAGGATAAAGTGCTGACACAATAATCATAAATTTGAAGGGTAATCCAATATTTTTAATAAGAAAAGACCCTCCCGAGTGATACATTTAGGTACAGTAACTGTCAGTGTGTCTGCAGCTACAGTATTATTCTTCAAGCTGACATACCTTTTCATTAAAATATACTATACTATGCAATTTTAAATGATACCCAGATCTTGTTATTCATAGAAATATCATCTTCATGCAAGTTTAAATGAAACCTAGATCTAATTACCCCACAATCAAGTCACATTTTTAAATCTACACAGGAGATAAAAATGGGGAGACTTTAGGGTGTGATTTAAACATCAATTTATTTTTTAAAATAAATTTTACTAAATGCCCTTTTGTAAAAGGCCTCATGTACAATCAAGGAAATATTATAAAGAAGCCCTTGTGTATAATAATCAAGTCTGGCAAGTCGTTATCTGAAGTCTAGCATTAATGAAGCAAGGTACATGTAGCTTACGCAAGGCTATGTGATTAACATCAATCCGAATGAAATGCAAGAAACAGATCATCCCAGCAAAAAAAAATTAAAGAGAATGGCCTCAACGACTGTAAGATTGGTTGGATGTTGACAGGTTTCGTGGTGCGACCTATATTAATTGAAATACTATAGCTTAAACTATACATACTGTATGTATGTATTGACCCAGATGAGAGAGAAAAAGAGAGAAAGAGAAAGAGGGGGGGGGGATACAAAGACAAATTCAGAGATGGAGATATAGAAGGGGGAAAATTGAAATGTTCAAATTGATAGAAAGAGAAATAATATTTCAAACATGTTGTATAGAATTAAAATGGTAAAGGTGCTTCAGTTGCTGTATATTACTATGTATTTGCCTTTTCACTGTTGATAATTCAAACAGATAAAGTTACACCCTGAATAATGTTGCGAGCATGAGCAATTTCTTTGTCAAGTAAATAACCATCTTTCTGATAATCAAAGCCCCTCTCAATCTGTTAGTTGTGTCTCTGAACCTGATGGGTTATCTTAAATTTGATACATATCATTCACAGAACTAGTTTCTGTTTCTTTGCAAAAATTTATGAAACCAATTAAATGTTTTCAAAGACATACATATTGTTAGCGATATTATGAACAGTCAAATTCCTACATTGAGATAT